TATTTTGTTTACCTATAAGTAAGGTTAAGATAGTTGTAGATCCCCTTAACCACACTTGACCTTCCAAACCCCCTCCCCCTCCTATCATTAATAAATCCTGGCTACGCTAGTGCCTAATTTCCATCCCGGAAATTTAACTGGAGAATCGAACTCGAAAAATCAAGCCCGAAGGTAAATAATAATAAATGATGCCATGTATATCATACATTTATCCACATCGAGTTACATAAATGAAAAAATAATAATTCGTAGACGGAAAGGCTCCGCGCTTGAAAAATATTCAATAGCAGTGTCAGTACTATTTGGGTGGCATGTGATGGTGGTGCAAATTAAACAAATAAATGTTCGTGTTTTCCTAGTTCGCTTTATAAGAGAAAAGTCGAAAAAATACAAAACAAATTTAAGAATTCAATAATTTATCATATTATTTAAACGTTAGATATGTGACAAATTGACATTTTTTTTCGAGTATCTGAGAATATAACCAAGAAGCTATGTTTAAAGTTTAACAAAAATGTGCTTAATTTGATGAATTATTTTATTATTTTGTTTTATTATTGAAACATTTTTCAACATTTTCTGCAGTACTTACGCCATAGGTTCTTTTGTTGTTGATTTCTGGGTTATCTATCGGAACAAGGAAAAAGCCACAACTAATACTACTCCATACAGAGTCATTTTTATTTTCGCAATGATTTATCATTGTACACAGTATATAAACTAAATTTATTGCGCTATATATCCAACCATACAAACTACCTATTAACAACTGCAGCCAAAAAAAATGCTTCATTTTTGTTAGACAGATACAATCACGTTAAAGTTTATAGCGAAATAACTATTATGTAAATTCACTGAAAAAAAAAAACATGCCAACAAATACCGATGGATAATGTACGATTTGTCTTTGGTAAATATATGTTCAATTCGTTCAATATTGTGCTTTGTATTATATCACAATCAGAACAGTTTTTGAATTTATTTTGTGATCTTTATTTTATATTCTCTTATCACGTGTATCGAAATTCATATACTGATTGCGAATGTAATATTATGATGGACTGAATCATTTATTTTATTTTTATAACAATTGTTAAAACTTAAATATAAATAGCCTCCTAATGGCATCAGCAGAGTTCGAATTGGGAAAAATTAAGTAGAGGAGCTCAATCCAACGATTTAAAAACTGCGTTCCAAATCCACAATTATTTAACACAGACCCGTTCTGAACAATATTATGTATATTTAACTTCTGCACAAAAAATATTTAGTAGTTAAATGACGATATTTGATGAATGTGCGATTATGATTATTTGACGGGATACCCCCTCGAAGAAACCATTTCAGAAGAAATGGACCGTATAAAAAAAAAATCCCACTAGAACGGTCATTTCTGAAAATAAGAAATACTTTTGATATAGTCGGTATCGGAATTTTTTTACCGGGGTAGGGATATGGAAATTAATTAAAAAGTGACCAGTGAGGGCTAAACCTACACACCATCTTTCTTATATAAAAACAAAATACATTAAACTATAACAAATTATATTTTTTATTAAAATATTGAATTTACGAAATTACATCAATATTTTTCTTGAATTTTGAGCCAGTATATCAAGAACTTCTTTGGGATCAATTAAAGTGGCCAATAATTATGATAATCCATTAAAACGTTTCTAAAAGGGTCATTAAATGTTCCACTATCAACATTATTTCTACCGCTACAACAATTTTCATCCAGATGCTCAGTGCGTTCAGTTAATTTACTTTACTCAGGTAGTCTACATAAGTCTACACATCATTATATCAATTATATCAATCATGTATGAACTCGGCTGATTATTAAACCCCAACTGCGATAAAGATATCTACAGGTATATACTACCAGATATATAAAATACAAACACAGTCTGTAAGCGTGCGTGGACTGTAATCTGTATACGAATATTGTGGAAAATGATAATGATTCAAAAAAATATTTATCGATCATATTGATCATTATCACTAAATATCGGTTAAATAGGGAACTCCATATTATCTTGAAAAAAAAAAGGCCACGAATATCCCCCCATATCTCTCCCTCCCCCGTGAGAACATCTATGGTTACCTTGGTTAATTACATTTCTTTTGTTCAATGTTCACTGGTGCCACTGGTATTATAGCCGGTGCTGTAATTAGATAATATAACGACGGAGAGCTTAGCAAATTGTACAGAGGACGGAAAAAGTCTTTTAACAGATATATTATATGATAATGTACAATTTACAAGAAAAATATTTCAATTAGACTTGCGGATTAAAAAAAAATATATTTGTATTTATATTATTAAATTTTAAGACATAATATAATAACACTGTAATAATTAATAATATATGATTTATATTCTGTTAAAAGAAATATAATAAATTCAAATTATCAAATCAGGGTAGAAATTTGATTATCGAAAAAGATTCAAGTATCCATGTTTTTCTCGTGTTTTTACCGCTTTAGGTCTTGTATGTACTGTACTCTACAATATTTATTTTCACCCAAACAAGATAAACACGTATTATCTGAATGAATATTGTTTAAATAATTTCTTGTGTCTAGATAATAAGTCCCAAAGCTATAATTTAAATTCAAACGCGGTTCATAACACTATTCTGCTTTATTAATTATGTAGAAATTAATACTGTACGTCTATGTTAACGAGTTTACTTAACCATTCAAAACCGTAAACATTATATTATTATAACTAAGTACTTGGTAAAATAATAATTAAAACGCCATAACATACAATCCAGACGAATTTCGTAGAACAGTTCTGTAATAGGTATTTGATAGTTATAAAACACTACGTCACGTCGTATAGCGGATATGTCGTCGTCGCATCTTGTCAAGGCAGGCGCCAGTTTGTATTTTTGACATTCCGACAATCTGATGTAGCCACCATTATGCAACTATGTAAATACTGCAATATTTTATTAATTTTGAGAGCACAGTAAGTTCTTTATCGGGAAGTATATATTATTCTTGTTTGACGCATTAAGTACTTACCGAGGGGCGAATAATTTTGCAAAAACGGGCTCGAAATCCATACGAACATGATGAAATATTTGACAACGTCATTATTATGTCACGTGCAGAGCTCTACCCTTGTAAAATTTACAACAGCATATTATTACCTATCCAAATTATGTTTTGAAAACCAGTCGAGTTCTGCAAGTACCTTGTTCTCTGTATAATCAATGAACTATTCCTAAATTATTTTTAAAACGCTGGTGTAAAACACATTATTCTTTTTCTTCTTTTCTTTTTTACGAGAATAGCGGAGTTTTGAAAAATAAAACAATGGTCTTCTAAATTTGTAATTTACACACAAGTACACATGGTTTATATAATATATATATCTAATGCACTATAGTATTGATATAATCTCCTTAAATATTAAACATGACGTATTAAAATATAATATTATCCGTTTGTTACTGCAAACAATATTATCGATGTACCACGTACAATCCTCACCTAATTAGAAATTTCAAAAATTGTCTACACAGAAATTGAGTATTTTATTTGAATGAAAGTGTATGATAATTTTAACATTTTTTATTACCTACCTTGGTTTTCGCTTTAGTACAAAAAAAAAAAAAACAACAGGTGAGAACGGAATGATGCGATTTCAGCCACACTAATAGTTAAAAGTGATATTAACATAGGTTCGACTATACCATATTTCATACATCCGGAAGACTACGTGTCAATAAATAATTATTTATTGAAGCTTTTCTTTTCTAGTGTGAATTGTAAACGTTTTATACATTTTCAATTAATAAACATACAATTATTGAAAACAATGTAAACCTAAACATATGATAATATGATTTTAAAAAAAGATTTGTAAATGAAATATAATATACTCGTACATGTTATAACTACCTGTTAAGTTATTATGACAATATTATATTGGTATATAATCACCGTGGTCAATTTATATTAAGTTCCACTAATGTCTTTTACAAATTGATTATGGATGAACATAATATATTTGTGGACAAATGTACAGTGTAAACATACCGACTAGAAACTAATAATGTTCGCCACGATAGTTTGTTATATTTAAATTTTTTACAGTAAGGATTATACAAATAATTCAATCATGATATTTAGTTATTTTGACATCAATACTTGTCTTTTTTTATGCCCATTATTGCAGATGGTTTGAAATGTATTAATAATGAAGTAACACTATCTTATTTTTGTACGTTCGCGATATTTTATCGTATAAATGTATTAGTGCAAGTAATGTGCAAGTATTTCGTATACATCTTTTTCGGAAGTAACTATATAATCATATATGGGTATAAAATCAATAACCTTGGAACTTTACGTTATCGTTTTTATTTTTACAAAATCATTTAAATACTACTTAAAACTGAAAAATGTAATGAATGTGTATCTAATTTCTAGTAATTTAAATATTGTAGTTTTGTTACTAGAAATTTGTATTAAAAGTCTGTTCAAAAAAGGCAAAACATTGATAACTCTGGTGATTCTAGCCTTTAACGCCCGGTATTTAGTCTTTTTATTAAAATTATTTTGACACACAATGACACACATAACACTAGTCACAAAAAATTCAACTAATCTGTAGTTTAATGTTATGGCAACTTACCAGAAATAAATGTATAAAGAAAATAATTACGTTGATACGGACAATTTATCTGATATTATAATTTATAATTTGAAGTAAAGATTTTTCTAAACCAAAACAAAATCAGAGTTTTATAATTGGAAAAACATTATAAACGCACGCATGACTTAACGTATCCTACTAACTATTAATCTCACGGACTTAAGTAGATATTCTGGACCGATCTGGCGTTTCTTTGACGTACGGGTGTTAACTGATCGTTTACCGAACCAGTTGTCTCAAATTTCGACACCAAACGTTAGAGAGNCAAACAATCGGCGTTGTCTATGGTCATTAATTTTGAGCTCCTGGGTCAGTTGGATCTTATATGGGTGTAAGCCCAAGTCCCGGCGCAAAATTCGCCAAGTTGAAGACTGTGAAAGACCGAGTTCTTGTGCACGGCGAGGAATTGACTGCCTCGGGTTCTCCTGCACACTTTAACGATTGGAGAGTCGACTTTGAAGGACCACTACGTCGGCCAAAAAATGGACGTAACGAGCGCAAAGTTTGAACTACCGAACATTTATTTTGATAATAAAATTTTATAATTTGGACGCGCTGCTCTATAGTGTAACTAACCATGATGATTTGGCATTAGTGACTGAATAATAAACAATAAATTAGACAGACGTCAACAAAACGATAAGGCTATACAGCGCAGATAAGATCGGCCCGCTCTAATTGGAAAACCCTATATAATATTAAATTATACATCTGCACATCTTACAAAATTGTATAGAAAAGTATTATGTAGTTAAATATAATCTCACTGATTTAAATACTCATTATATTAAATACCTAGGTATAAATTAATAAATATACCTAGTGCCGTTGCCTAGCAAAATCAGCACCCGGTGCCAGAAAAATTTAACGATGAGCAAAAAAAATTGTTTATTACAAATATATTCATGTACGAGTATGAACTTAAACATTTTCAAATAGCTCCTGGTGCGTGGGCACATCTTGCACCCCGCTAGGCATGACTCTTAATAGGTATATCTAATGTGAAGTCTACTTTACTTTACTTTTTAATGATTATCCAATCAAACATTAATTTTCCCTCTATCACTTATTTATATAAAATATTTATTATATATTTTATGTTTCTACTATAGAAATATAAAAAAAGATTGACATACTTCACTTGTGCAGGGTGGGCCGCTGTTGTAGGTGAAAAGTTGGGAAGGTAGTTGAGGGGAAATTAATTGTATATGTGTATACAAAGATTAACCATTGCTAACGAAAAATCCATTCTGAGCGGAGTTCGGTTGATAGTATTGCTTTGTCAACAATGTAGGTATATGCCATATTATGGTAAATAAATACATAGTATGCATTATATAATATTTTCTTTAATAATATTTGTTTAATATTGTAGGTAATTTTCTGTTTTTACCCGATTTTTCCCATTTATTAGGAAAACTCTTTGGAAAATCAAAAATTACCTCTCTAAAGTACCTACTCAGTACAATTTCCTTTCAGAAAAAGTGCTATTATTTTAAATCTGAGTAAAATTGCTTGTAGAAAAGTTTTCCCTGGAAAAAAAATACACATCATTGTAAAAGTATATGTATATTGTATAGGTAATATGGGAAATTATTAATTAATAATAATCATAAAGAATATAATAGGTAGCTGATGATTGTGGATTATAGATTTTAGATACTTGTATAATAATAATTACTTATAATTATCTTTTTATACATTTTGTAGTTAATTATTAATTTATATAAAATCATATTTGTATACATAGGTACATATCGAATATAAATTTAAAAAATACACTCAAAGAACCAATAAAATATTTAAATTTAAATTAAAAAGTTAAATTTTGTTTTCAGGAACATTAGATTTTTTGGGTATCAATCATTATTTTTCGGTTTATGCAACAAAATTACATAAAAATAAGGAACTACCATTAAAATCTCTAGATTCTAGTTTTGAATTATCATTAATTAAAGAATTGCCTCATTCAAACCCTATGTGGATTAAAGTAAATTCTCATAATAAATTAAAATATGTTTTTGAATTATTTCTACAAATATATTATTTATTTAGGAAACTCCAAAAGGGATGCGTTATTTATTATGTTGGATTAAAGAGACTTATGGAAATCCTAAGGTTCTTATTACTGAAAACGGAGTTTCGGGTAATGAGCAAAACGAAGATTATGATCAATTCATTAAAATAAGATATCATTATGTAAAGAAATAAGTATTGTTTTATTATATTTAATTTATTGGACTAATAATAATTTTTGTATAGATATTATAATTTCAGTATTTTTTTTATTTAATCGTGTAATCAAATTGAATTTGTTCATTTAGACTAAACTAGTTTTTTTTTAAAATTCAAATGCATCGTAACAGTATTGACTATTGAATAAGACGGGATTCACACTTGCGGAAATTCCAGGATACTTATCTAAAAACGGGAGCACGTAAAAACCTGGAATATAAAAATTAATTATCGGAGACCGTTATTGGAGACTTTGACACTGAGTTTCCCCAAAAATAAACCAGACATTTTTCCAGAGAAGCACGTTCCTCCATACCTGATTTATTTTGTTTCATTGGTCATTTCGGTGTATTTTCTTTCTATAATTAATAGTAATATTCAACTTATTAGCCGGAATTATTATGTATGTTATGGTATTTATAAATAGAGAACAAAGTTTTGGTGACCGCGAGTGTCTAAATAGTTTACACTTACTCTTCTTTAAGTCGGCAAAAGGGGAAGTATGTAGTGAGGAAGAGGAGGTGATGAGAAAGGGGATCACGAAAACAGAGAGAGAGTGATGATGAGGTTAATTTAATTTTTTTTTAAATTAATGATGATGATTTCATACGATTTCATATTATATTCAATAGCAGGAACGTAGTGAATCATCTAGTTTAGATAGGTATATTAATACATTTTGAAATTAATAATTTAAATGGTTATCATTGAATTATAATCATATTGCTAGTTTTCATGGTTAAAATACGAAACTAAGAATATATTATTTATATATTTAACTTCTACACCAATATTAATAATATTTTTACACAAATTTCGAGGGGGCTCATCCCTCGGTATCAGCTGATTAAAATAACAATACTGGTTATAAATATTTCTATTTAAATTAAAATACAAACTGCCAATTACCACGTTACCTATGTATACTGCAGTGGTTGTATTTATGGGGTGGAATATCTCACTCAGACACATAAATTCTATATTGGTGGGCTTGGATAATTTAGGTATCGGAATAGGCCATTGGAATTCTAAATTTATACCAATATTTGCAAGTATAATTTCACTTTTGTTTAATACTTATTTTGAAATTCTAGGATAATTTGTAGTCCGTCTCCCTGGCACCCGTTAATTGTCCTATCGACTTTGGATCAACATAATTTGTATGTACCCGATTTGTATTTTTTTAAAAAAAAAATTGTATCCCCTTAACTTTCCTGTAAAACGGTATTTTAAATACGAGTGCTGAGAAGACCGTATTATCCATGGCATCCGTACCCTTTAAAAATCATCCTATCGATTTCGAACCGACACCATTTTTTTTTACTCGATTTATATCCATTTGTATCCCTTTTAAAAAAAATTGTAACCCCTTCACTTTCCTGTTAAACAGAATTTTATAGACCATCTCCCTGGCACCCGTAACCTTTAAAAATTATCCTATTGACTTCGTACATTGTATTCAATTCACTCTGTGGACAAAATTGTTAGACTAAACAGAAATATTTTAAAATTTAACAGGAGGTTCATTATAAGTAATATTGAATGATTTAGAGGTACTATTTTTAAATGGTATTTTATGACAGATAACGCGTGAGTCATATCAAACTGTCGTGGTATTTTTGTTTAGTGTTATTTGACATAATTGACACCGACCGACCTTTCGAATCATCACCTTTTCAGTGTTTGGGTTCCAAAGAGAAAATCCACTTTGAAAAAAATCCACTGTTTTCGACCAAAATTTAGTTCAGAGGTGAAGTTCATTGTTGGCCTAATGGTTACCTCAATATTCAAGGGATAAGAGCAACCCGAAAAGGTTCAAGAGCTACCATCCTGACAACAACGGTTTAGTGTGGTTTATCATCGGTCTTTTTTTTCTTCAAAAATGACGCTGGCCAGAACGTAACTTTGAATAGCGCCCGTTATTGCATTTATATCACTTGATATCACACCTTTTGACTTTTTTCATTATAGTATAGTCCAAAGTCTATATAGCCAAACCAATAGGCTACAATAAATGAATTGGAAGCCAACATCAGAAGTGTCATTGGCCAAATACCAGTTAAAATGCTTGAAAATTGGAATTTTATAATGGCCCATGTTAATCACAGTTACGGCTAACATTTAAAAAACAAAATATTTTTAAAAAAGAGCTGATACTGGGGACGAGCGTGGCCACTGTTGTAGATAGGTAGTTAGAATGTGAAATTTAACTAACGATAAACCATTGATAACGAAAAACGATTCGGAACAAAGTTCAGTAGCACATGTTTTAAAAAACCATAATATTTACAATTTCCGACAAAATTTGGTTTTAAAACACTTATATAAAAAAAAAAACATTACATTACAATCAATTTTATTTTTGACCACAAAGTGCGACTCTTAAGGAATCTCCAATTAAATTGTCAAGCATTTCTGTTATGTTTAATATTTTAACAAATACTTAACAAATACAAATTACAAATTCGATGATTATGTCTTTGTCATTCCATTTTATTAAATCATGTATTCTATAAGACAAATTAGATTATTTTTAAATAGAAAGCAAAAAGAGTTTAAAAATAATTAGATCTGTCTATCTGAGGTAGAAATTACTAGCAACACACTTCTCACTTGTAAAAAATATAAAAAATAGCTTTCTTTTAGATTTCGAGCCTAGCGAGGGAATTATTGTTTTTACATTGTTGTTGATTTCTTTATTTTTTTTATTTTTCTTTGTTCTAGTCTGTGGATACGGTTTTTTCTAGTAAACTTTTCTGAAAGCTCAAGTTGTCTAGATTGCAGAAAAGTAATTTTCAGGATTTCATTATTTTATAAAAACACGGACGATGTTTTTTACCAGAAAAATGATTGAATCGAAAAATCAAATCACATAACACGTTTTTTGTTGCCTTTTTGATTTACTTTCTAACGTATCATCGCTAAAACTTTTGAGCCACTTTTGAGTTTTTAAAGAATTTTAATTTTTGAGATTTTTTTGCTGTAATTCGGTTACAAATACACATAGAGTCTTGAAACTTGGTAATAATACTTATATTGATCTTACCTAAATGTGCTAAAATTTCCAAAATCATCGGATGAATTATTTCTTTTTTTTTTTTTACAATGGAACTTTGTTTTATTTTACTGTAGATTATTTTTTCCTAGAAAACTTGCTCCGATGTATAAGTGTAGCACCTTATCTGAAATTCATTTTTATCTACTTGCTAAATACATAGTTCATTTTTTGATTTTCGAAACGGCATTTGAAATAAATATGATTAACCGGAAAAAAAATACGATTTTTTCACGATTACGTTATTTTAAATAAGTATCTACCACGTTTTCTAGCATAAATATGGTTCCAATTGAAAAACAACGAGAGACCTTTTTCGTTGAATTATTAAGCTTATTTTTAATGATGCAGGTCGCTTTTCGATTTTCGAATTAGTTTTCATCGGAAAAAAACGTAGGAAAGTTAGGTTAAAAAAAGTTACGACACTTCAAATTATGTATTAACGAACTGCGCTCGGATTCGTCTTTCGTCAGCAATGGTTTGTCGTTGCTCACAGGGATAATTTTTTTTTAAAAGGGATACAAATCGATTACAAAAAAATGGTGTCAGTTCGAAGTCGATAGGATGATTTTTAAAGGTTGCGGGTGCCAGGGAGACGGTCTGTAAAATTCCGTTTTACAGGAAATTGAAGGGGATACAAATTTGTTTAAAAAGGATACAAATAGAAACAAATCGAGTTTATAAAAATTATGTTAGTCCAAAGTCGATGGGATGATTTACGGTTGCCGGAGAGATGGACCTGACAATTTGAATAGGCTTACTTCAAAAGTTTAACTTGGCCGCCTGAGTGACTTACAAATTTTAAAAATAGACTTGCAAATATTTGCTTATCATTAGCTTTCGTTAAATACTGATTTCGAAGTTCTGGATTAAATGGATGGGCAAAATTAGACCAACTTAATTTTTTTTTTAGTTTCACGGTTTCACGTTTGGTCTTGAAAATTCGACAAGTGAACTAGAAAATATTTACAAAGTATTGGCATAAATATTAAAAAAAATTGCAGATCTTTGGTGGGCTAACTTCACAAAAATGTTCATGTCACGTTGTTTTATCACATAAAATTAATGTAAACAAGTCTACCATATTAAGAAACCAAAAATGTATAAGTACTCGTACATATAACGCTTGTCTAAATTTTTAAATTTCAAAATAATTATGATGCCTTAAATATACTTAAATAATTATAAATAGTTTATATTAACAATAATTATATAATTATAATTATTTACAAATATGAAATAGATATATACAATATATTAATATATGATATATATATATAATACATAATATATAAATATGAAATCATTAACATTTTGTAGGGTTATTTAAGTGCTGTTCTTAATGCAATATACGAGGACGGATGCAATGTGATAGGCTATGGAGTGTGGTCATTTTTAGATTCATTTGAATGGTTTTATGGATACGAGTAAGATTATATTTTATCATTATATAATAATATATGGGAGGGGGGTATATAAAAAAAGAAAAAAATTAATCAAGCCGGAATATTATTAGCAGAAAAATATTTCAGTCTAAAATATAAAAAATATAGTGAATGTATAATAAAGTTAATAATATAGAACCTAAGATATACAAATAGTTTTTTACTATCAAATTCTACATACTTACAGAAATGTTATTGTTTCAGACCAAAATTTGGAATATACAAAGTTAATTTCCACGATGAGAACCGATCTAGAAGTCCGAAAAAATCTTTACAGTTTTTTAAACAGTTATTTCAAACAAAAAGCTTACCCGATGTTTTAGACGATTTGTACTATAATAACTAATAACAAAATAATACAGAATAATTTGTATGTTATATACAGTGGTGTTCCCATAGAGTATACTAAAAATTACTAATTAGGGTGGTCCTTATTTTTGAACTTGAACAATTTTGTGTCATGGGCTCGGAATTTTGTTAGGTATATTATAAAAATAATAGTTGTACATTTTGGATATAATAATTCACCCAATCACGTGCCTCAAAAGAGTTAAAGTTTGTTAAAAGAGGTTGTTTTATTACGTTTATTATTTTAATTTTAGACACTTTATTATTATAAAAAAAAATTTCCTACATAATGACTTTCTTTAATATTTCATATATATGTAAAAAATCGATTTAAAAGTTAGTAGATTAAAATTTTTATATAATCTTGAATTTAACTATTATCAATCTAATTTTGTTCCTCACAATTTTAAATACGAGTATATAGGTTCAAAATATACCAACAATGTTGAACGTTGTCATAATAATAATTGCTTATAAATAAAACCTATAAAACTAAAACTAATATGTAAAATAATAGTATTATGATTTTTAGATTCTGAGTGTAGTTAAGAATGTATTGAATTACTAAGATGTTTCTTTTTTTATTTTTTTTATCCTGTGTACAAAAATTCGACCATAAATCTTGCTGATATATACGCGTGACACCATTTTTGAAAGGGAATGTTGCCCAGATGGTAGTTATACGAGGTTTTTTTTTGATTTTCCAAGCGGTTTTCACAATATCTGGGAAAAACCAGAATAAAACTTTAAAAAAACGGGTAATGTACGAAATTAATGCTTTTATTATTTTACCAATTTTGTTATTTATTATAATTCAGTTAAAAATATTCGTAGAGACTTGAAATTTGGACTGAAAACTTATATTGGCCTTTTCTATACGTGGTAACATTTTCAAAACACTTGAGCTATTTTTAAAAATATTTTAATATTTTTGTTGAAATTCAGCTATAGATATTCGTATTGAGTTAATGGACTTGAAATTCGGACAGAAAATTTATATTTGCCTTTTTTAGGTGTGTCATTTTTGAGCTATTTATTAACATTTTAATTTTGCGAGTTTTGTACGTAATTTGTATTCGGTTGGTACTCTGTGGTAACATTATTAGACTTAACAGAAATGCTTGAAAATTTAACAGGAGGTTTATTAAATCTTACGTTGTTGTGAAAAAAAAAATTGAGTTTAATGTAATATTTGTTTTTATAAAGGAATTTTTAAACTACATTTTGATGAAAATTGTTTGAGTAAAAACAAGTGGAACAAATATAATTTTTCTATTTTTTTTTTTTTTTGAACATAACTATGTATATTGCGAATAAATATATAGAGATTTGAAAACTTACATTTCAAGATTACTGTATTATAGTACTTACAACATTAAATATATATATTTCTTTAACTTTAATCTTGACTAACAGTGTATACTTTACGGTTCAACACTATAACTATACACTATACATTCGATTCATTCGATTAATACCAAATAAAGGAGTTGTCGATAAAACCACAGGAAAATAGTAGCTTATACTGTTTCTACCCTATAAGTTATAATTGAATTGCATAGAAAAATAAAAATAATTTTGATTAATTTTGTTTTATTTCAAATTATAGTTATATTGATGTATTTCAATTATTGTTCATTATTTAAATTTTATTGATCATTCAAAATTCATCCATATTATTCGTTTTTCTGTCGATAAGTCTCTGATATATACATGTTTTTACCAACCAACTTATGTCAATCACTAAAAAATTTCAATTTATAATTCAAAATTGTTATTTAAAAAAAATTATATACATTAACGATAATATTGTAATATTAAATACATATATATATATATATATAAATATGTATTATAATTAAATATTATTCATAAAACTTACACGTGTAGAATACAGACCATGTTAAGAAACATATTCGTGACAAGTATAAATCGTTCAACTGAAAGTTTACCCTAAAACATTTTAAAACATTTATTGTACAAAAAAAGCGTATATAAAATAATTAAAATACCTAATATACAAATTATAAAAACAAAATTTTTAAGTTGTTTTTAATTTATTTATAATTTAAAACCTTGTTACATTAAATTTTGCATACAATATTGTTGGAGTAAATATTCACGATCATTGTATAGTAAGAGTTAATAATATTTATATGAAAGTAGACATAATTAATGGATGAGTCATAAAAAAATACAGACATACTTCACACGATGGGTGGGCCAAGATTTATGGTAGAATTGTTGTACACAGTATAAAAAAATAAACATCTCCGTAAAACCAATGCATTCTTCACTACACAGAATCTAAAATAAAATTTAATTTTTTTTGGGTTTTGTTCAAGTATAAACAAAACTACCAAAAAAATAAATAAAAAAATTACTGACCCATGAACTAGATAAAAAATGCAACTAAGAAGGCCCCTTGTATCTAAAAAAAAAACATCATTGTAAAAACAATAAATTCCTCGCTCCACTCAGAATCGAAAATGTATCTAAGCAATAAGATTTGTTTCTACTCTTTGCAACTATTTTTACATAAGTATGGTTTATTTCTAAAAAGTAAATGTCTTTACCATAATATTAAATTATAAACAATAAAAAAATAAAACTGATCAGCCATTTTAAATTAATAACACCATGTTTTAAATTATATTAAAAAGTAGTTTAAAACATTATAAACTGTTTAAAAAAAAAAAAAAAAACGGTTCTAGGTATATTTAACTGGTTATAGGTATGTTATCCAAATAACCAGTTTCCCTAATCCTTTTTGTATTACCTAGATATTTTTGTATATCTTATATCGTAACAAGGAATGTCAATATTTCCTAGGTTTTTAAAAAGGAAATAAATTATCTAATGAAAATACAAAATGTATTTGTTTTGAATTTGTTCATAATAAAGATCATATATTACATTAATGCCTTTGAGCTATAATACTGCATAAACTTACGCAATTTGTAATTTTACAGTTCCAATATAAATCATTGATACTTGTACATACAAACCGTAGAACCAAAATATTATGTGCCTAATAGTCCTGCATAATTTAAATATTTCACCAAATTCTTCATCTTCATTTGTGCTATCCATATTCTTAAAAATATAAATATAAAATTGAATGCTTATATAAGAAATGACAGTGCAATCATTATACTATTTTGGTACTGATAGGTTATAAGTACCTAAATGACAGATGTCCAATAGGTAAATACGGTTTTATATTTTAAAATAGTGGTGCAATTTAATAATAGTTATTAGTTATAAAGAGACCTGTAAATATTATACCCACAATAAATCCTCCAGGGATATTGTGTGTACAAAACTGTCATAAATTACAAAATTTGAATTCATGAATTGGGCATTTATACAATGAATTCACATAAATTTAAATGTGTAATTTTCTTTTTTATGCGTTATAATTTATAAATTTCATAATATTATATTAGGTAAGTATATAAATAATTGTATTTTGTTTATATTTTATATTTGTATAAAAAATATTAATGGTATAATATTACAAATAAAAACACTAAAAAAAATTACATTATATTAATTCAAAATCTCTTGACTCCAAAAACTGTTTGATATTTAAGTAGAGCTTATTATTACTTATACCCAGAGAATTATGAATACCTATACCTACCTATTTTATTCTACTGATATGAAAGTTTTTATTTTAACGTAAAATTAATTATAACACATTATAATAAAAGTAGCCATTTTTATATATATGATAAACCCACTTTATGTAAATTATTTTTGGGTCAAACAGTTTGTGAGAGATTTTCACACTTTGACAATTTTTACAAAATCTACAAGATTTTATAATTAAATGTTATTTGAATCTGTATGAATGGTTAATCTGTTGTTAATTTTTTTAAACTTATGGTAAACTAGTAGGTACATACTTACTTAGTTTAGTCAGTACTAATAATTTTTTCTTATTCCTTAAAGATCCTAAAAATCCTAAAGACTAAGTAAAAATAGAGTAGAATGATTACATAATAATACAAAATTTAACTTACTTCGTCATATAAGAATATAAAATTCATAGCATTTATAACAAATACATAAATTATACAATTCATTAAAATGTAAAAACCATCATCTATAATACATAAAAAAATTAGTAAATATAATATTGTGTACATAAGTTATGAAAAGGATGCAGATTCAAATGTTCTAAAAAACAAAAAAATGCATTAAAAAATGATGTAAAATTATTTCAAATTTTGAAAAAAAACTATTTATTAGGTAGGTAGGTATATAAATTTACTAAACAGAACAGTGCAAATAGTGAAATATGATCACGACAACTCAATGAATAGCTAATCATTTTCTTTATTACAAACTGCATTATATTAATCTGGTACAATAGATAAATCCATAATACATTTTAAAAATTGAAATATGATTTTTTTTTCTTTTATGAAGAAATCAAAATAAATTTTATCAGGTTTTCTGATAACCTTAAAGTTTATAAAAAAAATAAAAATGCCTTAAACATCTAAAGATGCAAAATAAAAGTTTCATATTTGAATTCTTTGACCTATGAAACAAATTTTGTACTTAGAAAGCATTCAGAAAAAAAATACAATTTGCATTATAATCTGCACCTTAGTTATAAATTATATAATATATTTGTACTATACCTCTAAAATCACTTGGCCATGGATTAGTACAAATAAAGAATAAACAAACAACAATGGCATGGATCTGTATAAAATGTTAACATTAACTTATAATATTTATTAAGTTATCTAAAATAATTTACACATGAAATTATTGAATAGTAGTTAATATCCTTCTTAATATTGGATAAAGTATTTGAACTCAGTAGTACTCTGGGTATTATTGTATAGTAAACCATTTTATTCAAAAAGGAAGATATACCTTAGTGTTCATTTCAAATGATTTTAAGTTTTCGTGTAATTGTTTACAAAAATATGGAGTTACTGTTAATTTCCTTGGAAACTTCATCTCAGAAACAAATTTGTTTTTTCATTGTTTATAGTATAATTACAATGAACCTTTATACAGTATTCAGTGTGTCCCACGAAGATAATATACTCATTTCAATATTTCCTATTCTCTTGAAACAATAAAGATAATCAAATTCTATAGTAAAGAAATAAAATAATCAATTAATTAATGAATATGTCACCCGGAGTATTATTGTGTATTATATAACCGGTTTCTAATGAAAAAATTTGTCATCAGGTATATTACAGTCAAAATGTAAAATGTGACTGAATATAAAAAATTAAATGAAGGAATAGATAGAAAAAAAAAAATTATACACATTGGTCATTTTACATAGAAATAATTAAATTTTGGTAGATTATTTTGAATGGGTTATTATTAGACATAGATATGTTAAAAAATATAAATTATTTGGTTATTATTTATTATCTAAAATGTATTGATATAAGATATTGTTTTTAAAATCGGTTTGTACATTTTAAATATTATTAAAATTATTTTTCTTTATTTCATTATATTAGTGTATATGTAATTCTTCCAAAATTAAATTAATGTAAATGTTCTTTTGGGTATTTAATATCCCTAACTCTGTATTAATATCAAAGCTTATATTATGGTTATTTTCTAAAACATGTTTTGTGCAATTTGAATTAGGGGCAATCTTTTTAAATTTTATTTCAGAAATGTGATCTTTATACCTTATTTTAGAATTTCTATTCGTCTTACCTATATACAATTTAGTTACATTTAAGTTAATATAATATAATCAGCATTTTCAAAAGATGGGTGATTTTTTCTTAAGTTTTTAGTTCTATTGATTATATGTTTGATTAAATTATTATTAGTCTTAAAAGTAATTTTTACATAATTTGTATTATTGTTCAGGATTTTAGAGAATTTGTTAGTAATATTATTTTGATATTTCATACTACAATAGTTAACATTATTTGGTGAGTTGAGTATTATTTTTTCTTTAATACGTTTATGAATTTTATTTAATAGTAGGTATTTAAATTGAAATTATTTCTATTTCTTATTATTGATCATATTGAGTTCGTGTTGATAATTATGATTATTTAATGGAATAAGTTAAAAAATATTGAATTAAATAATGATATTTTTTGAGAATAAGGGTGGTTAGAATTATGTGACATTATTCAAAAATAAAATTTAATTGAACCAGTCATTAAATGAGATTCAAAACCACATAAACAAGACAAACAAGTCATTGAAATTATTTGTTGGTTATATGTTGGTTTTGTAAAAACAATATTAGCCTAGGTAGTGTTACTTTTTTAGTGTTGATAGGAACGATGAAAAATATTTGTATTCCTTTTTGGAATTTGATAATCATACTGATACTCCGCAAAATATTACTTATGGATCCTTCCTAGTTTTGAATCTTTTTACTACGTCACTGTTTTTGCAATTTTTTTAATTTCTTTTTAATTTGAGGATAACTTGTGTGTTCGCGCATCGTTATCACCGGTATCCACCAGCGTTATCGGACAGGTCGTCTCGCATCACTGTTTTTCCGGGAGCATTGTCGTCGCGTGAACCGGTACCGCTCACCCATTCAACCAGTGTGTGTGTGTGCGACCTTCGCCGTACAGTCGTGGTCTGTCGCTTGTGTACATTATTGTGTTCGGTGCCAAAGTCACGTTTTAGTTTCCGTTGTTGTCCATTGATGTTGTTAGGTCGTTTTGGTTAAGGTCACCTTAACCGTCACCTTATCTAACAACACACGAGGGTTTAACCTAAATCGGGATAAAAAGAATCCTGTCCAACGGTCCGAGCAGAAAAAATCTAAAGTTGCCTTGTTGTCCTCAAAAGCTCCAGTAACGCCCGCGTCAAAATGTTTTGTTTGCTCCGGAGATCATCCTACTGCTAGTTGTACTGAGTTCGCCGCAATGTCCTTAGACAACAGATGTCAAGCTGCTAAGGACCGCAAGATATGTTTACGGTGTTTGAACTCCACTCATTGGTCGAATCGTTGTACCGCCAAACCGTGTAAAGGTCATCATCATATCCTTTTGCATCGGGAATTCTGAAGCATCACGAAAGACGTCTCCCACACCTGACGCGTTTTTAGTTGGTTCACTGGAGCGGCCTACAGTATTACTCGGAACCGAAATTGTCCATATTCGCAATTGCGGTGGTTATGCTCAACCAGTCCGCGCTCTAATCGATTCGGCTTCCCAGATCAGCGTTATATCGTCAGCGTATGCTGACCGCTTAGGTCTGAGACGCTCGAAGTGGACAACTCCTCTTACGAGTCTGTCTGGTATGCAGGTTCCCAAAGTAAATGGCATGGTGAGATGTACCGTACACGATATAATGACGATAGCAAAATCTAAGTGACACCATGGGTCCTTCCTACGATAACCAGTAAACATGCCATCCCGTCATTTGCCTGCTAGTGGCAAAAGTAAATTTTTCATCTGGCTTTGGCAGATCCTAGCTTCGATCATCCGGCGCCGATTGAGCTGTTGCTAGGGGCTGATATGTATTAACAGATTTTAGATCGAAAGCAGGTAATCGTGGATTCTTCACTACCTACAGCTCCATTCGGCTCTCTTTTCGGATGGATTTTGATCGGACCTGTTCCGGACCACGACCCCGATAAAATCCATTCAAACGTAGTGGCCCTCACAGTGTCGCTTGAGAGTATGGTTGAACAGTTTTGGCGGCTCGAAGAGCCTGATCCCGCTCCAGTAACTTTCACTGAGGAGGGCAAATGTGAAACAATTTATGTAGCCGAACGCGTGCGGGAAGAATGTGGCCGATTCGCAGACCCTTTGCCGTTTATTGACGCTTACGAGCAAGAACGATTTCCTGGAGCCCGACAGGTGGCTATGCGTCGTTTCCAGAGTTTGGAAAGAAAACTCCAGGCGGACCTAGCTCTGAAGAAGGTTTATTTAGTCTTTATGAGCGATAATGAATCACTGAGGCATATGTCTATCGCTCCCAGTCCTGGCATTTATTTCATATCTCACCATCCCGTTTTCAAATGTAATGCGACAACCAGTAAAATTCGGGTAGTATTCGACGCTTCCGCCACTACGTCATCCAATCGGTCTTTAAATGAATGTCTCTATACCGGACCGAAACCTTAGCAAGAAATAGTTGATGTCCTGTTCCGATTCCGAGTACATCGTTTTACTTTCACAGCCGATGTCTGTAAAATATATCGGCAAATACGCGTGCTTCACCGTTGGACGAACTTAAGGAGTACAAACTGAACACAGTTACATATGCCTTAACCTGTGCTTCTTACCTTGTGCTACGAGTGTTAAAAAATACTGCCGACAATTGTTGTGAAGGATCATCAGGTGTCAAACATGCGTTCACACATCAAACTTACGTTGATGATATTTGTGTAAGAGCTGACAACATAGAACAATTATTAAATCTAAAATCAGGTGTAGAAACCGTTCTAGGCGCCGCCAAGTTTAAATTTAAAAAATGGTCCAGCAATGCTCCACAGATTCTGGCTTCCATTCCGCCAGAAGATCGAGCTCAAAATGTTGTGGATTTCGACGACACCGAGATGAGGTTAGTCAAATTTCTTGGTTTAAACTGGAACTCTTGTGACGACACCTTTGGTTTTGAGGTCTTCTTCTCGTGTGATAAAATCAGTAAACGCGCAGTCCTCTCGACAGTCGCGAGAATATTTAACCCGATTGGTTTCATCGCTCCGGTAATCTTTTATGCCAAGCATATATTATAGAGAATTTGAAAGGCAAATTTAGTGTGGGATGAGTCACTTCCACTCGAGCTAGTCGAGGATTGGAAAACATGGGTTCAAGGTCTCCATACATTGACCAGCGTCAAGATTCCGCGGTTTTTGGCCACGAATGCCCGTTCTCGCGTTCAACTATGTGGCTTTTACAATGTATCGGAGCGAGGGTACGCAGCCGTTGTCTATCTCCAATTGAGCCTTCCAAATGGTCCTTTCGTCACCTCTCTACTTGGTTCCAAAACCAAAATGGCTCCCATGAAAGAAATTACTGTACACCGACTTAAATTATCGGCCGCTGTCCTTCTGGCACAATGGATGGCACGTATCAAATTAGTATATAGATGGTATATTAGAACTATGAGATGTAGAAGCTGCAAATGACATACATATTTGAAGTTGAAGCTTTCGATAATATGGGCAATATTAGAGATGGATCATCAACATCTGAAGTTTCCAACTCTTGCCTCAGTGTAGCTGTTAACTTGGCTTTTGAAACCATAACACTACTGTGTTTACTAGTGAGATGTCCACTTAAAGTACTTGTGTTGCCTGAAAATAAAATTACAGTTACCCATTACTATTAAGTTAGTTATAACAATTACAATACATAATTTGTTATATGATATACTTATTTAATATGAGTTGGTACTTGGTATTATAAAGCTGTTAAAAAATATAAAATAAATGTATATTGTAAAAAAATATTTTAAATTAATTGTATGGGAATCAAACAATTGTAAAAAAATAAATAATATTTTTTTATTATACATTTTTCCTTGATTATCGTTATATTATAAAATATTAGTAAACAAGAAAATTACTTACCACTTATTTTTAATGTTTTCTGGCATAATTGACAAGTGGCTGTACCATTATTTTTCGTAAAATGTTTCCATACTATACTGCGACCCATCGTTTCGTTGACAGTGACCAAGACGTAAGTAGTTAAATCACAACGAATTAACAAAAAATTTATCAAGTTTAAAAGTATCAGTTGAGACTTAAGTCGCAATTAACATTTCGCATCATAAATCACAAAAATAAACAATTAACAAACCGCACGAACGAATATCGAGTATCAAGTATCAACGTACGATGATTGACAAATGATAAAATTAATTACATATAAATATTATAATAATATGATAATAATCAGTGTGATTCCTCTATCTAAAATCTGTTATCAGTTAATCAGTGATTAGCAATAGAAAAATAATCAAACAATTTTATATTATATAAAAAAACATGGAACCTTAACTTCGATGGTATATCGCCCAAAAATATCGATGTTTTTTGCCCATCCCTACTATAATGGCATTAAATCTCATGAATTCATTATTTTTCCTTGAATGAATTTTTACCATAAACTTCCAATATTGTTCACAATTTTACCTTATTCATCATATTCTATGACTGGAATATATAATAATAATATTGAGCATAATAATTATATTATTGAATATGAGCGATTGAGCGGTAATGTGCATGACGCGCATTTTATCATATAATCATATGTTACATTGTTATACAATATATTGAACACGCCCACACAAAGAAACACACAAATATAGTGGTCAGTGTTTGGAATGTATACTGCAATCCGAGTCTCGGAAGAATCCTTGCGAAAACACCGGTTTTGCATAAATCATTGAAGATGAATGTGCTTTACAATCAACGAGTAAGTATTTATATCTTATACACAAGTTATAAATATTACATTAGTATATTCCATCTTAATTACTATTGCTGTTATCATCAGTTTTATATATCAGATATACTTATGTGTAGTACACGGCATAGATTCTTTTCAGTTTTCATTGTCTTGGTAGAAAATATATTTAAATTTAAATCAACCTATGTTTACAATTTGCTGAAAATGTACTATTATTTTGAAGTAAATTTAAAGAAAATAATATGTGGAATATTATATTACAGCTATTAAAATCACAAATTATTTGTATTTCTAGTATATCTACACTTGAAATGAATAAAAAAATATTATATGTTAAAAGGTTTTATACTGTTCCCTTGTTAGGTCGATCTTAGAATTCTCATCAGTTGTCTGGAATCTTAAGCAAATTAATTTAGTTGATAAGCTTAATAAAATACAAAGTTGTTTTTTGAGTATAATGTCTTAAACTAGGAAAGACTGATGTGGGTTTGCTGTAGAACTTGGTTTTGAATCATCTTCTAGACATTTTTATAATGATGTAGCTTTTATTTATAAATACATTTCTGGGCTATTAGTTTTCCCTGAGTTATTACAAAAAAATAATTTTAGAAACAAACCTTTCTTTCAGATACTTCAGTTTTCTAGTATTTTTATTACAAATAGTCCAGAGTATCGTCTTTTGAAACATTGTTATGAATATTTCTTAACCACCAATTTTATTTTTTATTATGTATTCTCTTTTTGTATATTATTACATTTAAGCTTTTTCTGATTTTTCATGTACTTATTACCTCTTTGGGGTGTTCATTTAAATAAATAAATTATTAAGTATCAAAAATAGTATTTCTTTAAATTTACCAATATTTAAATAGTAATTTTAACCATTTATTATTTCATTATATCATTTGTTTAGTTTTTTAATTCTCAATAAACATATTATACATAATTGTATTGATTATTATTAGATTGATTATTAATTGAACTAGTATAAATTATATAACAGTCAATGTATTTACCTAAAATATATATAATTGGTAAAATTTAAAATGATTTTTTCAGATTTAATATACTTTGAACTTGTAAAAAGTGAACATTTGATAACAAGAATAAATATATTATATTTAAAAAATGGCTGAATCTGTTCCAAAATTTAACTCTGGTAGTCATGTTATTCAGTGTAATGAAAATGAATTTAATGTATTTCAAACGAAAATCAAAACAGAATGGTTTGAATCAGGTTTTATTGGAGAGAATTTAGATGATTTCGACAATTATTCAGATGATTTGGACAATTATTCAGTTGATTTAAAATATAAATTAGATTATTTAAAAGACACAACTCAAATAGCTGGAACATATAATAATGAAGAGATGGAAACTACATTTAAAAGTGAACCAATGTCTTCTATAGCAACATTATTAAAAAAGGAATATATAAATGATACAAGTTGTTTTACAAAAGAGACTAATATTTCTGAATCAAATTCACAAGTAAGCATGAGGATGATGCTATGAACTAAACTTTTTTTGATATTTTAAATGTATGGGTGATTTTTAAAATTTAACTTTAAAAATATTGATAGAACACCTTGTCAATTGGTTATACATGCTTATTAAGAGCATCACAAAATCCTCAGGTTGAATAATATAAATAGCCTAGTAATAATTATATTATTTTTTTTTCTATAGGAATGGAAAAATTCAAATTTGATTGTTAGTAGTAGTAAGTATAAATTATTATAAATTGTTAAAAATAGGTAATTACTGATGAATGACATCTATTTACTTGTTACTTATTGTAAACAATTTATTCCTCCATTCTTTATTAAATTCAGTACTAATATAATTTGTTTTTATATAATTATTACATAAACAATATGTATTAAATTTAATTAACAAAACTCATAAAATTATATATTTTTTAAGGATCAAACATTAATATACTGTGAATTAAAGAATCAAGGCTTTAAAGTTAATATTTTTTCATTTACATTTACATTTTAAGTTGATGAAGGGGATATCATGTTCTAAGAAAAGTCATGTATTACTGTAAGTTTATCTTCTTGAAGTTTGAATAATGTTCTTTTGTTCTGAAAGCAAGGAATTTTTTTTTGAACACAATTAATATTTGATTATAGTTATTATTTTGTGTTCTATATTATTGATTGTTTTCTTAATAATACTTAACTTTTTTTATAATAGAAAATATTGAATTAAAATACATTTTAGATATTTTGTATAAGATAATACCTATTTACATGGATTTTGAAGTTAAATCTTCCATAATTGATAAGATTATTGTTAGAAATTTAATATAATGATATGAGGAATGTGTTAGTTGTAAAATCTTATGAACTATTTACATTTCCTATGTACATATTGGATTGAAGAAGTACTCTGTTTGTGTATATTTTGATCTATCACAATTTTAAAATATATTTACTATCACAAAATATAGTTTAACTATGATATAACAAATAAAAACACTTATTGTTAATAGGTATATAATTTTATTTAGATAATATTATAAAAATGGTCTTAATATATATTTTTAATTTTTATTTAGGTTATACTAAAAAAATAAATACAAATCAGTCTGATGGAGATTCTGTTTCTAAGCATGAAATACTACTGTAAGTATCTTTATATTATATTTTTATGTTAATATGTTTAAGAAAATATATATATTCAATTTTATTATGTGAAAACTATTTTATATTAATGTAACTTTTAGAACATCTAAAGTACCAATATCATCACAGACTTTAAAAATAAACCATAACTGTAGTGAATACTGTGCGTGGTGTAGAAAAAGTTTTGCTGTATTAGACAATCCTCACCATATTGGACGTTTAAGAAATATCGAGACTCAAAATGCATTTTTAAAAAGTGAGATAGTTGTATTTCTTAAATTGAATAAATTATGTATTATATTTTTATTAGTTTTACATAATCGCAAAAACTCAGTATATATTTCAAATTTCAAAATAGTTTCTTATTAATTCTTTTTTTTTTTTTCTGAGTTCTTGAACTAGAAAATTTAAAAAGAGTAACTACTTATTGTGTTTTTACCTTCAACTTAAGTATATTTTGCAATATAATTATAAAAACTATTATTTAACACTCTTGGCTTGGAGTAAGGATCCTAGTTTTAATATGTATTTCTTAATTAACTGTTATATAACTATTTACTATAATTAATAAGTACTTTTTAACATAGATGTAATTTGATAAATTTGATTTTAAACTTTAAAAGCAACTATAAAAAGTTGAAAATATTTGAAAAAAACAATTTTAGATTTTGAACCCCTTCAAGACTAATATTTTATGTAATAGCATACCTAATTTTTACAGCATTAAACTCTGCTTAGGATTTAAAAGTATCAAGAAGGTTTTGATTTAAAATTTTACTGATTTCAGTTGAATCCAGTTTGGACATTCTTTCATGCATTTGTGACCGCTGTTGGAATTTTTTGAAAAAAACTCATCAATTGCAGAAAACTGCTCAAACAACACAAAGACATACTCCTCATGTATCAAATAATGTAACTAAAGTTAATGTAGATAATGTAGACAGTGTTAATGATGGATTTAGAATTGAAAATGCCACTAATGTTAATGAAGTTGATAAAGAATCAGGAACAGAAAATTTGGACAGAGATGATGAAAAGACTGAAGTTAAAAATAAAGTTATAGTTGATGGAAAAATTAAGGTTAGAAATATGGCTGGATTTGATGAAGGGTCTGAAGTGGATAATAAAACTAAATTTGATGAAGGATTTGGACTAGACAATACTATGAATAAATCAGTTAACCATTTTAAACATCATAATAGGCATTCAAAAAAAAAGAAACATAAAAAAAGAAAACAACCTCTCTCTACTTGTTCAGTACACAATTGTTTTAAATGTTCTATACATCCAATATCATCAGATGAATATGTAAGAATAAACCAAATCATTTCTCAATTTGATTTTTGTAACGTAAGTAAATAAAAAATTGTTTGAGAAAATTGTAGAATTATTATTTATTTATTTTTTCAGATAATTTTAGTAGAATCTCAACGAAAAAAATCTATACTAATGGGCATGCCTCCTTTATCTCTTTGCGAAGAACATTTAGATATGGTAAATTAATAAATAAAATATGTTTAATATAGGTATTATAAAGTTTCTGTATTTGACTTATGGTTTAACTCAAAGTTATGTAATAAATAAACTGCAAAAATATCAGATTTTATATATCTGAGATAATAAATAGCTAAACAATAATCTATTTATGTATATACATATATATTTTTTTTAGGTAAATGTATTGACTACATGTCAACTTTGTGGTAATAAACTAAATGGCCATTTAGATTCTAAAGAATGGAAAATGCATGATGAATGGAATGAGATTTTAAAATGCAATAATATTCCTTTAATATTGAAACCTGGTATGTTTATATGTACGAGTTGTCAGAATTGTATTTCTAAATGTAATACATTATCACCTAACATTTTGGAAGATTTTCGACAAAATGTTAAAAAAAGGTAAGATTTTTAATAAATAAAGATATAGAGTAATTCTTTGAAATAAATGTATGCTTGCCATGTTTTGGGTCACTGAATTTAAATGTTTAAAAAATGTGGCTTTTTTATTTAGGAAAACAAATATTTTAAATTTCAGGCTACTGAGTGTAGTCTGTGATCATTTTTTTTTTTTTTTGTCTTTCCTCTTATCTACCCAACCTGATTTTGTGTAACAAATCTAGGTTTATTTTTGATTAAAAATCTTACATGAGATTGCAAAGCTAATGGATATATAGACGAAGATCCAAACTCGCTTAATGAGGTCTAAATTGAAACTTAGGATACTATTCTCTTTTTAGTATTATCAGGTTGAAAATTTAGATTAGTTCAAATCCCCCCCACAAGGGTGGTGGATAAAGATTACTGGATCAAATAGCTGTACTCGAATCCCTTGAATCAGCAATAGTTTGTTCTGCATATTATGTAAAGTGACATATAATCTTCAAATCGCTATAATTTTAACCTAATAATTTTCAAAAAAAATTTGGTTTTTGGTTCTAAGCGAAGTGTTGAATGTATTGGTTTTATAATGATGTTTATTTTTATTATTTATACTGTGTATAAAAATTCTTCTAGAATCTTTTTCTAAACTTTTCCTGGTATGATACTTTCAGAAGGTCATTTTTTGAATTTTCAAAATAATTGGCAACATTTACGTAAATAAAGCATTTATTATTTTAAATTTTGATTTTTTGTTGCAATTTAATTAAAAATGTTCATAGAGAATTGAAAACTTATATTTGCCTTTTATAGATATGGTAAAATTTTCAAAACATTTGTCAAATGTTGAGCTATTTATAGGCATTTTAATTTTGCAAGTTTTTTTTTGTAGTATTCAGTAGGTACTCTATGGATAAAAATTTTAGACAAAAGGGAAATGCTTAAAAAATTAAATGGGAGGTTCATTATAAGTTGTGCTTAGTGGTCAGCAAGAAAAGTTATGTTTGATGTAGCCTTTTAAAACATGTATAACCAAACTCTGCTCAGAATGGTTTTTAGTTAGCAATGATAAAGATTTTAAGTAAAATATTCTTTTTTTGAATCCATGCTGTTAATAAGGAGTTACTATTTAAAAATAAAAAATTAATAAATGTTTATGGTGTACAAAATACTGTAAATAAAATCATTAAACAGTTCTATACTGAATCACCCAAAATTTATTTCTCTCAATGTTTACATAGATAATTATGATCCAGGTAATTGAAAAAAAAATATATGTTTAAAAATTAAAAATTGTATTTATTTTTTCATAATATAATGAAACTAATTTCATTTTAGAAATGATGCGTGTAGAAAATCATTTGGATGTATACCACAAGTTAACATTCCAAATATTTATCAAGAATCAAATGTAGACCCCCTTAATCATGCCTTCAATAAAGTTGATAGTCCAACAAAAATCAAGTTCTCAGAACCTTTAACAACTTCAACCTATTATTTTAAACCTTATAATAGCGAACACCATTCAAAATCAAAATCAGAAGAGAAAATACAAAGTCATGTTAATAAAGTTTTGGATATATTAACAGTTCCAGAAATTAAATCTACTAAAAATACAAATCTTAATTGTTATAATAACTTTGATCCTCGTAAGCTAAAATTAAAATTAATTGATGAAGAAATGAATTCTATAACTGCCGATTCTCTATTATCAGATGTTCATAAAAAACATTCTAAGATATCATTGTCAAGCTATTTAGGTAAAGGTCACAAGAAAATGCTTACCAAAAGAACTAATAAAATTATGAGTTTATTGAGAATACCTCCTTATGCACAATCTAGTGATAAATCGCTGAAAAATAAACATTCACTTGCCAAACCAACTGGTGGTGCTGAGAATCAAATTTTAAATGATAACTTAAATAAATCTACTGAAAATAAATCTTTTAAAAATAAATCTACTCAAATTCAAAATATTGCTTCTGAGAATCAAATGTTAAATAATAACTTCAATAATTTTACTAAAAATAAATCTACTCAAATTCAAAATTTTGCTGCTGAGAATCAAATGTTAAATAATAACTTCAATAATTTTACTAAAAATAAATCTACTCAAATTCAAAATGTTGCTGCTGAAATGGATGCTAATAAAGATCTGCTACCATTGCATGTTTGTAGTCTATTAGATAACAATGAAAGTGAAATATCCATACATTTTGAGGCCGATAAAAACCAATCAATATCTAATTCACATCCAATGGTACATAAAAACAAACTTGGAAAAACAGAAAAAACCCGTAAATGTTCTCCAGTGAATACTAATATACATTCTAGTCAAAATGTAATAAATATTGAAAATAAAGAATTCAATCAAAATAATTCAGAAATGGCTACTGAATATTCTTACCGTTATGTGTACCATGAAGATGAAAGTAGTTCAGATCTCAATGAAGAAAATACAAATAATATTGCAGAAAATGTGGTCATTGTTAAACCAAATAAGTATGACCAGAGATTTAGTTTGTTGAATTCCAAGAACCTACATCACATGAAACCTATTAATCATTCAGAATTAAGAAAAAAATTACGTAATGTTGTACATCAAAGAATTTCTAATGGAGGCATTAAGAAGCAAAAACTGAATAACATTTATGAATTAAATGAAAATGAATCATATATATATGAAACAAATAATTCCATAGAAGAAAATAGTATTGATTTAAATGATAATAAAAAGAATGTTTTTCGACATTTAAATACACCAACTATTTCAACTTTGTTCCCTCGAACAAATGAAAATGTTGATTCTAATAAGAATGACATTATTGATTTGTTGAGCGATGAAGATGAAGGAATAATCATACCAACAGATACAAATAGTATGGATGAAACATCCTCTACTGATAATGGCTCATCAATTCATATAGGCAGATGTTATAGTTTAAATCAAAATTATTCAAAACCACTTCAATGTAAACGAACTTTACAAAGGGTTGACGATTTTTATTCATCTGCTGTACGTAGTTTATCTGAAAATGAAATTCTGTCTGAAGATTCACAAGAATATGAAATATTATATCCCGAAGATGCTTTAAATAACCAATCCAATTTAAATACTACGCATTCATTTAGTATGTCTGAGATTGATTCTCAAAATACCGAATTTGCTCAACAACATATTTCAACTAATGAAGAAATTGAGGATCTAACTCAATCTGACAGTGATAAAAGTGACTCTGACAATGATGAAAATGTTATACATATAGAGTTGGATGAATCTAATCAACACATATATGAAAATTTAATGACCCGATTTAATAATAATTCGTCCGATATATTAATGTATCTCATGGATAATTATCAAATGTTCTATAATGGAAAATTAGTTCTGTCAGAAAATGCCAGTACAAATGCATCTAATAGTTTAAATTATCATTTAAATCATCTGTACCAATTATATGGTGACCCTACAATGAACAATACTTCTGTAAGCTTTTTACCAGATTCAAGCGATTCCACATTGAACGATATTACAACTACCACATCTGCAACACATACTCCAATAATGGTCAGCAAACTGAATAATTCTCCATCTACTCATTCATTAATAACAATAATAAGTGAAGATGAAGAATCAGATACATAAATTATGAAAAATAAGACATAAAATCCTAATATTTATACATATACATTCTATAAAATAAATTTAAGAACAATAATATAATATTAAGGTGGTTTGATACCACATGTCATTCGACTGCCAATACTGTTTATTTTATTCAGATACAAATTACTTGAACTTATTTTTGAAAAACTAAATTTCCAACATAAAAAGGGAATGTATACGCTATAATACTTGGTTTTATTTTGTTAATACATCAAATACAATAAAGATTTTTCTATAAAAAAAAAATGTCAGTTTTTCTTTTCAAAATCTTAGTTTTGTTCAAAGCTCTTATATCCAAAAATAATAATAATAATAAAACTACCATTGCATAATGTAAATTCTCTTTTTTTAATGGTGAAAATTTGGTTTCTTAATTAAGAATATGGGTAATAGCATGTTCTCTTAAGAAATTCACTTAGTAAACCTAAGATTATTGTAATTGTTTATGTTAGTTATTATTACAAAAACATTATATGAATTATATTTTAAACTAATTATTTATAACCAATTGTGGGTTAAAATGTTAAATCTAAATAGCCTGCCTTGATGGAATATTGATATATAAACATACAATGTTAATTCATAATTAATATAGATTTATTTCATATAATTTCATATTAATACAAATAATTTTTGATTGATATAGAAAAAAAAGTTTTAATGTCTGTTTGATTCTTAAATAAATATTAAATATATCCATGCATTTTATTTCAAAAAAAAAAAAAAAATTATAACTAAAAAACTAGTATTATATAAAATTATTTAAATTAATAATAGGGCATTTAGATTTATAGATGTTTCTAAGTATTAGTTTACAAATGAAAAATTATACGGTTAGGTTTTTTAGTTTTAGTAGTTGAAGATGCTGTACTTAATTGTCTAGGAATAAACATCGATGTTTTTGAATTTAATTTTGTGCATTCTTTACTAGTTTCCTGAAATAAAATTTAAAATATTTGTTAAACTTGTATTTCCATATAATATTAGTCTCAATGCATGCACAAACATTTCTTAAAGATAATTACATACATTATACTACCTTAAATTCTCATTTTATAATTTTAGATTGTGAACAAAACGTGTTGTATTTTTATTTATAAGTTTATACAAAATATAATAATGTTCTTCAATAACTGTATTGTTAATTAATTAGTAATTATGATTCTGGCCTAACTAGAGAACTGTTAAAGTAAAAAGATCAATAGGACAGGATATAAATAAAAAAAAGACCAAGGTATCCGAGTTCTTAATAAATAATACAACTAAAACACTGGAAATCAATAATTTTCATTTTGAAAATGTGGACTCACTCAAGTACCTATGTGTAAATTTGAAAGAGATGGAAAGTAGAACATACGAGTTAATAAGATGATCCAGATCCAAGATATTCTCATAACAAGGTTAAAATTGTATTTAAGAATTTTTTTTTATCAGATGTTCTTCTCGTGATATTGTGTTCCTTGGAGCTTAATAATGTTACCTAATTTTTTTCAAATTTGTTAAGGTCACAAGCATAATTTTAGAAAAGAAAATTTTATTTTTATTTTTGTATGTATAAGTCTTTTTAATGAGATCATTAGATCTAAAATTCTTCAGAAGAAAATAAAATACACTAATATTTTATTTTAAATTAAATAATCTAAATTTTACCTTTTGTTTAGACTTAAAAGTAAATTTTTGGATAATTTTAATAAATCAACACCTTTTAATCACTGTTAAATTTATATTTTAGAGGTTGAAAATATGTTTAACTTATTCTCTATTTAGTTACCAAGAGAACAGTTATACTTGTATAGTGAGTTACATTTGACATGACTCCAAATAAAATATTTGTTACAATTATTAATTGTATAGTTCAACGGGACTAGTTCTTTTACAGTAAAGTATGTAGATTGTAGGTACATAGCTGAGATAATACAAAATGAAAATAAATACTTAAATAACAAATAATATAATAATTATACATATGAAAAAATATCAAAAATGTGTGCAATAATAAAAAATTCAGAATATTTTTTTTTATGCAAACCATAAAAATTATGTATGTTGCATACAGAGAAAAAATTGCTGTCACATGTAGACAAAGAAAATTACATAAAATAGTAATTTTAATGAGTCACTGAAAGCATTTTCATCCACCTTTTTGTCACAATTACTTACTAGCTAATAATTTTTCTTTTACTAACTGTTTTACTCATCATTAATATTAATTATTGAATTTATCGAAAAAATAAAAAAATGTTACACAAACATGAAATATAAGGCATAGGAATTATTTTATACTGAAACTGTCAAATAACCAAATCTTGATAATTCGCATTCTTGTACTTGTAATGATAATGCCAATAATCATTAAACATGGTCAACATAGATAGTAGATTTCAAATAATTTACCTGTTATTTTAAAATTATATCATAAAGCAATTTATGATGTCAAATTTCTTTTTTTCATATTTATCCAATGCTCTGCCATAATAATTGTAAAAATAATTTTATTTGAAGTCATATCAAGTGTAACTCACTATACAAGTATAACCATTCTCTTGATAACTAAATGGAGAATAAGTTAAAAATATTTTCAACTCTTAAAAAATATATTTAAGAGTGGTTAAAAATTTATTAAATTATCTAAAAATTTACTTTTAAAGGTCTAAAAAAAAGGTAAAATTTAGATGATTAAAATTTAAAAAAAATAATAGTATATTTTTTTTTTTTGGTAATTTCTTTGAAAAATTAATATTTAGACACATAAAAATAAAAACAAAAAAGATTCAACTTTTTCCCTAAAAACTATGCTTGTGACTTTAACAAATCTAAAAAAAATGGGAAAACATTATTGAGCTCTAAGGAACAAAATATTACAAAAAGAATATCTGATAAAAAGTCTCTGAAATTTGAATTAATTTTATATAAAAATATGTGTATGATTCCATAATTGTTCAAGTTAATTATTATTTACTATTGATAAATATTATATTCTGAGAATGTGCAGTATGAATATCCTATGAAGCACAGCTGCTTTGTGACCAAATCAGGTGAGTTTATATGTGAAACTTTATCATTAAATAAATTAACAAAAAAATATACAGGAACGTCTAGTAGCCTTAAGGTATGTTTTCCAAGGCGCGACATGTTGCCAGTAACTGCTTATATGAAAATGATATGACTGTTTTGCAAGACACGACAGATCGTCACAGGTTGATGACCAAAGTTTTGGTCACCACGACTGACAACACTAATGCTCCGAGAACAGTACCTGTGCGTCATGTCATGACAACCATACACCATGGCATCATCAAAATTAGTTTTTTCCCCATCAAAAGATGAGATTCTATTGCAAAATATACAGGCCAATTCATTTTTTTAAGATTTGTGCATTTTGAATTAAATAAGTATTATTATGAAGGATAGTATCTGGAAAGAAATATCCCTTATGAAATCTTCCTCCGATAATAAACTTAGAATGCCGTTATTATTAAGAAATATTTCCATAATAAATTTAAATGTTAAACCATAAAGACACAACTTGACACGTGTTTGTACGTGGACAGGATTACAAGTGAACTGAAAATATCTAGGTACCAAAGTATTAATGTTTTTTCTTCTATTTTACTATAAGTGATTTATGGGGAAAAAAAATCATGCCACTGAGAATTAAAAAGTAATACTAAGGTTACTACTACTATGGTTAACTATATTAAAATTTTATTTAGTAAAACTACTTTAAAAATTGTAATCATTTGTGTACCAATTTATGTTTCATAATTTCTTTAGTAGTATTCAAAGGATCTGTTTTTGGAATGATATAAGAACATTTTAAACCTCCTTTAAGCCATCGATTATGTTTTTGAGAATAGGAACTTAAATCTTGAAACTATTCATAAAAAAAAAAATAGATATAATATATATTCATAGGTAGGTATCATTATAAACATTTAAATGAACAAATGAAATTGAATACCTTTAAATTATCATCTGAAGTAACAGGTATCTGTTGAGATAATTCTCTAGAAAACAAAAATGTAATTATTATAAAATATAAAATTGTTTAGCAATTTACAGAATAAAGTATATAAAGATAAAACCATTAATACACATTAAGGTTACATTTTAAAGGTAAATAATAAACCTTACTTTTTATAGTTATTTGCTACACCAGTTCTATTGATATGTTTTGTTACTTCTGTTATCCTTATCTGTAACTTTGCTCTAGTTTGCTCTATTGATTCTAGTTCAGGCGCATAACAAACATGTAAAACACTACCGAAAAAATTTTTTGTGTCTATTTGTTTCTTGGCAAATCTAAAATGTTCATATATATTATTAAATTGAATATTTTACATAAAAATATGGTGTAGTTAAAATACACCTTGCAGATTGTATCCGAAAAAATACCACATGAAAACTATGGGTGAAATCTTCATGATCTTCTAATTGTACTTGATTAATACTCATAACATTACCATAACGTGTACATAATTTTTCCATTTCATCATGTAAGTTGACAGATGGTACACCAATTATTAATAAATGTTGTGATTCATCATTCACCGTATAAACCTTATTATTGTAGTCAATGAAAGTTAAGGAATTTTATTATTTTAATACTATCATTTGAGAAAATTATTGCAAATTTACAATATTATAATTAATCAAAAGTATACCATGATATAAATAATTCCTATATTAAGTCATTATTTTTTTAATTGAACACATTCATTTTCATAATATCTTATTACAGCCTATCGGTGAAATTACCTAATTCATGAAGTTACTTTATATTTATAGATTTTGTTCATTTTGGTCTAGTTTTAAAATTATGATGTATTTACTTATTTTTAGACCTAAAGATGAGAACATTGTCTATATTTGTGCATTGATTTTGTTCCAATATTTTAACTTTTAAGCGTGATACATTTTTTTTTTTTAATTTGTAGTTATTTAATTAACTTGAAAATTAAAATAATAAAAAAACAAACATACAAATATAGACAATGTTTTTACTTTTAGGTTTGATAATAGGCAAATACACCCTAATGTTAAAACTAATAGCACAAAATTAATGAAAAGATTAAATATAATTTAATTTTATGAATTGAAAAATTTACTAAGCGTGCTCATTCTATGTTTTGGTTAAATTATGCATATCATTAAAATGTATTTAAAGTCATACTCCATCTATTTATGGAATTTTTAATATAGATTCTCATTTGAAAAACCAAAATTGTTATCGCTACAGAATACTCCTTAAGTGTTCTGAAAAATCTAAGTATTTAAAAATATCGCCTTTAATTACACTTAAAAATTCCAAAAATCCGAATTTGAATGTATGAAAAATGGAACGACCACGCATGGGGAACATTCTGTTTATAGAAAAAGTAAAAAACGATTAATGCGATTTTAATTGACACTAATTTTGAAATGTTCAATAATATTAGAGTATATTGTACATACTAAAACCAATAAATTGGTTAATTATAAAACAATTAATTCCTTGCTTTTAAAAGTTAAAATTATGAATTGAGATTAAATTATTTTATTAAGGATACGTTTTATTCAAATCCATCATCTATCTTATTACCTTCACTGCTGTAAGTTTTCGTCCCTGTCTGTACTTAGGTCGATTTTCGCAATATTTTAACATGTTGTGATGAGGATATGATTTCAAGGTAACAATATCTATATGTTTGGACATTATTGACAGTTTACACAGTACTTTTTTAACAAGTAGGTAATTAAATTAGTTAATTAAATAAACAACACAAAATGATTATTGTAAAATAGAATAATGATAATAATCTCATTTCATATTATCTATTCTATGTTTCTGTCAATTATCAGTACGATTAATAGCGTATTCCACCTGACTGCACCGACTACACTCGGGTAAATTTTTATGTTCCATATGGAATATTGGGGCACATTTGGTGTAGATTTTTAAACTTCACATGCGCGCACCTTACCAGTTTTATGCCCCGAGTCCAGTGATAATTTTCGAGCTTGTGCACCTTATCATCTATTGATAAAGATACCAATCTCGATGCTTGATAATTTTAATTAATAATACATAGAAAAACTAGTATACTAGTATATGATCAAATCATTTAATCATAGACCTAATAATAGGTTTATAGATCTATGCTTTTAACTAATAAAAAATGTCTTACAAAGCGCCCTATAATAATTATCAAATAAACTGACGCAGTAAAGATTAATAGTTAATGATAATCACAAACCCTAAAATATCTTAGTCCGTTATGAGCACTAGATGTCTTTTCTTATCAACAGATTATTAAAGAAACTTCGGGAACCAAATTCTACGTTTTTATCATAGCTCGTTGTATAACCAGTATATCAATAATCGACAAGATTGCGAAAGCAACACGAACTCTTTTTAGAGTCGATTATCACAGTTTTAATTTAAGTACATATTTATTTTTTGTTAATAAAGAATTAACCGTGGCGCATTGGGTAACGCGTTTTTCATAATGACTTCGATATCGAGTTCTAATAACCGTCCAATGTGCAGTAAAATTGTGCACTTTTGTTTTGTACAAAAACGCGTCTAATTACCGTATGTGACTAAAATATTTTTATTTTGCTCCGAGTCTCACCCCAATCAATTTTTTTTCCTGTACGTTACCTACCCTACGTGGTTTTGAACAACAAATCGAGGGTTATTTTCGATTAAAACAGTCCGAGCGAGTGACTCTGCCAAGTTTTCAGGTGCATCCAAAATGCATGTTTTAAAAAAAAAATTAAATACAAAGAATGTCCGGTAAAGCAGACTTACACCACTGTGGTAATAAGTGATAATAAACTTACGATGATAAGAAAACTATGGCTAACCGTAATAACCGGCTCCAAAAATGAGCTCACATGATTCCCGCGATCCTCTTCTTAATCATAGGCATTTATTAAATGGCCTAATGGACAAAAAACTATTGAAACTACCTATATCTCTTAAATTCCATTGGTGACATTAAAGTGAAAGTAAATCATATTTTAAAACTTATCAGCTGCATACGGTTGTTGAAGGATTTTTAACTTCTATTAATTACTAATTAATCTTCTATTGTTTCAGTTAGTACTACCAAAGCGCTAGCCGGGATCATTAATCCCACGCTATAGTCTATTGACGCATGGATAACCCGGCACGGACTAAAGCTAGCCCACCACAAGACTGAGGCCAGGCTGACAAGAAAATGGGTACATCAGGATCCGGCATTGTTACTTGGTTATCAATATATTTTTTTAATAAATGATGACAGTAGTTGGGGTAACAATGGAAAAACTGATCCTCCACAGCTGTCGGTAACCCCCCCCCCCAAAAAAAAAGACTTTTTTAAAATATATTTATTGATTTGTAATAGGTATTCCAACTATTCCATAAGTATTATGCAATTTATACGAAATATACTTTGCAGTGACGATGATTATTTTTGTAAAAAAAAAAAAATGTTACCCAGTTGTTATTATTGTAGCAGTATTATATTATAATAATATACGCATTCTACAATCTACAGTCACGCGAATTGATGGACGAATATAATATTGGTATGCGTAGATAGGTACAAAATAATATTATATTATGAAATTATAAAATAAAAATTATAAAGAGTGCAACGAGGGGGCGTCTCATGGAGACTACAATGTTATTCAGTCCGTTCTCTTTGCACGCGAGTTCAAGATGATCTTATAATCGCCTTGACATTTTGCGTCAAGTGCACGCCGTGTCTCGCTTTTTAATTTTTACACTATCATCAAACATGTAATTTACTGTCAGCTGAAACGTATCAAGATAATTTATTAAAACAAAACCAATTGTACCGAAACCGTTGGTCTGATATAGTTTTACATTGGCAGCCGACGACAACCAATGTTTGTCCCGACGACGATATCCTGAAAGTTCTAACGCGAAAATGAAAATTCAAGTCCTGCAGGTATAATTTAATATTAATTTTTATTATAATCCCCAACTTTTATTATTTAATTCTTCTTAAAATTAGAAAAATGCTCTCTATAATTAAATGATGTAAAAATCAATTATTTTAAATAATATGGGTATAAAATTGATTAGATAATGTTTCCGTATGTAAGTATTTCCCGTATTATTGTAGAAAAGTTAGGAAAAACGTTATACATAACTGTTATCTACGAATATTTTTTTTAAGTTGTGTTAGGAACGATATAATATTTTAATTACAACTACTGCTAAAAATCCCGTTTCGTACAAATATGAAGTATAACTTCATGAATTGTGTTAATATAATACGTGAAGCTTTTTTGTTAATTTTGGATTTATCGAATTTGTTGTGCTTCCAATAAGTTCAAATATTTGAGAAAAAAATGAGAAAGTTTACACCTTTTCTAGACGTGGTAAAATTTTCAAAACGCTCTGACGAATTTTTTAGTTATCTTTATAAACATTTGCCATTTTTATGTCATTTTTAGTTTTTATATGGTTTTATGTCAATAAAATTGTTTTGGTGGAGTAGAATATTATAAAATTGTATTCAAGGTTCATTATAAGTTGTACTTCGTGGAAAAAAAATTTGGGTGGAATGATGGTAATAGTTTTTTTTTATAAGCATTTTAAGTTCAAAATTTAACGAACATTGTAAAAATAACGTCATTTAGAAACATATCTAACCGAACTAGTGTTTTATTTCGTCAGCAATTATTTATCATTGCATACAGAGATACAAATATAAATTAAATACATTTATGTATTTTACCTTCCCAATTTCTGAACTACAATAGTGTGGCCCACCCATACTATTGTAGTGATAAAAGATAACTTTGAGCCATGTAGGAACAATTTTAGGGGTTTATAAACATAATCAAAAATATCAGTAGGTAACCCACAAATAAATACAATTTTTTATAAATATGATTATATGAAATAAAATCTACTAATTCAATCACTTAAGCCGGGTGGTTTACACGTGCACTGTTTTTAGTGGCGCAAATAGTCGAAACTCTCTTTTTAATTCAGAACTACACTATCAGCTTTTTATCAACCACTACGAACAACAAAACGTAATAATTTTAACTTTATTTTATTATTATTAATATAAAGGCGGATGTATGCGAGGACGATGTGGGGGATCGGATCAAGTTCCATAAGATCAAGTAGGACGAGTGTGGTCGATTCCAAATAATTGAGATGAAGGCGAAAGAGAAGAAGATTTATAATAATTAACTTTATATTATAATTTAAATTTCATAAACAAAACTTCAATTTTTTTTTTTTAATATTTATTAATATTTTAATAATAATAATAAATTGTCAAAATAATTAAATTGGGGAAAACAAAATTCCTTAAAAATAAAATTAGATTTTATTGTTTTGCTATAAAATGGACATTCAAATGAGGAAACAAGTTCTATTGTTTATAGTGTAGATATCTATTTTAAGAAATGTTATGCACATTGTGTGAAAAGCTGTGGAGAAACCACGGTGTCCATTTCGTGAAACAGATAATAAAACTATTTAATTTATACGACGAATTTATATGTAGGGTGCCCCACCTCTTCGGTTCACCCGGGTAATCCGGTTTCACACATAAATCTACGGGTTCGGGAATTATTCTCTGGGTCACGGGTCGCCGTAAAATTAGTACTACCTATTTACCTATATAAAGTTTGTTGATAAGCAGCCAGAACAATGATTTATTTATTAATATTATTGTAGCATTAAAATTATTATAAAAATAATATATAATATATAATAGTATCTATACTATACTACTACTATATATAATATTATAAAGAGGAAAGATTTGTATGATTGTAACGAATAAATTCAAAAACTACTAGACTGATTTCAAAAATTCTTTCACTATTAGAATGCTACATTATCCCTGAGTAACATAAACTAAATTTGTTACTAGCAAAAATAGGGATCCCTACGAAAATTTCAATAATTAAGTTTTAGGTATTTTTGGTAATTGTTTATTTATTTATTTTTTGTTTATTCGTGGGTTACCTTGATGATATGGATGATAATTTGGTTGTCGTGGACAAGAAAAATATTATTATTAGTTATTACCATCATTTGCACTATTATCTAGCAATGGCAAAGCATGCACACTGTTTATTCATAATTTCTCCGATTTGAGAAAAAAAAAACTTCCAAACAATCTACCTAGAACAAAAAAGTTCACAACTATCTAAACATAGTTCTCAAGCAAGATTATCAAAAATACGTTGTATTGGAGAATCTTCTGAAAATTCAGATCGTTTCGCAAGTCAAATAGAGTACGCGTCGTAATCGCGGGCCAGAGAATCTAACGCCGAACGCTCGTAGCGCTTTGCTGGGAATAGAGCTAAAACTCGCGAACGCGTGCACAGGAATTTAGCACCGAACCCTTGCAACAACTAGGACACGCAATAGAATTTTAGCTCACAGTAATAGATCGGCATTCAGTTGAATTATGGATAACTATAGTAACATGGACGAAATGAAAATACCCAACCTATTTTCTTTCGTCTGATACACTGATACGGGAAAAGCAATATGGAAATAAAGGTAAAATTAATAAAAATTTGACACGAGTAACACCGGGCGCAGGACACTTAGTATAATATATATATATAAATTATTACTAAAGAAATTTCAGTGCCGCAATCGCGGTATGAACTAAAGTAAATGTATATAAATTTAATATCTATTAGATATAAAAGCTAATAAGCTATTGACATTTTAACAATAACAATAGCCAATAGATAATCAACGGTTAGATATAATACAGTTTGATACAGTGATAATAATTTAAAAGAGCTAGTGTAATCCCTGCAAAAACGACAACGAAAACGAGTTGTTTTAACATAAGCTACAGTGGAATGGAGTCATAAGTAGGTGTAGGGAGAGTTACCCATTTCCGCCAAAAAAGTACTTTTCCCTTTTCCACCAAATTAAAAAAATGAATCTTATATTTAAATATTAATGGACCATTGTATCATAAATTATTATTGTATTATAAAACAAATGTATAACAATAATAATAATAATACAAATAAGCTTAAACTTTTACAATAATAAAAACAGTGATTATATTTTTGATATTTTTTGTGTAAATAATTGTGGTAAGACAATCATTATGAGTATTAACAACTATTTTTACCTTGTATTCAACAAATAGTAAACAATTTTTGTCATACACAAATAGAAAAACTTAATATTTTTTAATTAATTTTTTTATATAATTAATAATTTTAATATATACAATACTGTCCATTAATATTCAAATATTAAACTAATTTTTTTCATTTGGCAAAAACAAGAATCAGCGGAAAAGGGAAAGGTACGTTTTTGGTGGAACCCGGCCACATCTGTACTATGGGGAATTATCCGTTTCCGCCAAAAATATACCTTTCCCCTTTCCGCCGATACTCATTTCCGCCAAATCACAAAATTGGTCGATTCCCTTTTCCGCCAAATGAAAAAATTGAGTGCAATATTTGAATATTAATGGACGATTTTATTCTAAACTTTTATTATTATATTATAAAATAAATTTTAAAAGATTCACAAAAAATATTGTAAAAATATTTTTAAAAAATTGTTACAGGGATGATTAAATTAAATTAAATTAAAAATATAAATGATATAATATAAATTCTTATTTACAATAATTTTAAAATATTTTTTACAAAGTCGTATCTGAAAATTTAAAAGAATAAACGTAAATACAAATTAATTGATATTGAATTAAATTAAATTTTAATCTAGTTTTTTGTCTAATTATTTGTCTAATTAAATATTATTTTTATTAATTGTAATGTATATACAATGTATAACTTGTCCATTAATATTCAAATATTACACTAAATTTTTTCATTTTGCGGAAAAGGGAAAGGTACGATTTTGGCAGAAACCTGTCTTGTCTGAACTAGGTACTTCAAGCAACGTGCGTCACATATAAATATTAACAAGAATTGTCGGCAAAATAGGAATCGGTGAGGTGCGAATGAACATATAGACACAGTATTTTTGGTGGCGACTTTTTTATTTGCTTATCTGCCTGTCTAAGGATCTGCCATGATCAATGTAGAATCCAGACAATTTTTCTAGGGGCAACCAATTGTGACAACCCTTTACCAAGGTGGATTAATATAAAAATTAATACACCTTTCCCCATATGAATTGGACAATGTATAACGTCGATCTATATATAACTTTAATTGATTATTTGTTATTAATATTACATTTTAAAATAATTTAATAAAACACCTTATGCACTTATATGTTATTTTTAGTATCTTTTGTCACTTGCATTATTATGGCAAAAAACATTTTCTCAAAATGTCTATGTACCAATAGAAGAGAATGAGGTAAGTATTAGCAATTTTTGCATAACTTCACAATAATGTACCTACAGTTATATTAAATACATAATAATGTTATAATAAAGAAAATATTTATTCACTGTGGTCTTGTCTGTATGATAGTTAGCATATGAGTTCCAGTACAATGTCAACGATCTTACATCTGGTGTCATATCACATAGATGGGAATCTAGGTATGGCGACTACGTAAGAGGATCATACAGCTTTCTGGAACCTAATGGTATGATTAGAAATGTATACTATGAAGTAGATGGAAGTCATGGTTATAGAGCAATAACAAAATTAGTAAAACTACCACAACTTTCAAGGTAGGTACCTACTTATTTTAATAAATTTGATTGAAAATTAATTAAATTATTTTGAGTCATATAAATTATCAAAATTGTTTCTAAATAACCACCTATGCATGTAGTTACTACTCGTCTCTGTTAAATATTACCTACTTATTTGTTATAAGTTGTATTAAAATGTTTTATCTAATAAACCCATTTTATTAATTATTTTAATAATTTCAGTTAGGTAATAAATATAATATTTTTACTTAATATATTATCTACTATCTAAGTGTATTAGTTTTAAAATAATAAAGAAACAGTTGAGTAGATATTAAATAATGTTGAGATTACTTACTTACCTGTATAAGACAATACACAAAATATTTAATTTAATATGATATATGCATATGCCAAAATGTTATAGCCGTTATAGATGATTCTACAATTAATTTAAATAATTACCTATATTTTAATATTTTATCTTCATGATGGAATAATATTATAATTTAGATAGTGAACAAGTTTATTTAATTATGTTAAGTAATACCTATATGGCTATATCATACCTACTATTTCATATATATAAGTAAACGAAATATTAAAAAATGTACAATATTTTTTATACCTACATTGTATTTAGTATTACCTACTAATTATTTTAAGTGCATAATAAATATAAATAATCAATATCTATAAATAGATATTGATCGAGAATTAAGCTGTAAGATAAGTGATGAACTAATCAAATAATTTTTAAACTGTCATTATGATCATACAGTAAAATGATAATACCTACAATAAAATCGGGTTTTTTTTTTCAGTGCCTAGATGTACAATATTCACAAGGCTCACAAGAAAAAAAAATCAATATTTATATATTAGTATATTTATTAGATCAATTACATTTTGTAATACACTTGTTTAAAATAGCATAAATCCTTTAACATCAAATTATAATAAATTAAAATAAAATATAATGTTTCGTATTTTATTGTATTTGGCTGTAGGTGTATTATTCGTATAAATGTTAAGTTATAAATTATAACAATATTTCTATAATTTAAACATAATTTTTTTTTAAATTTTATATTGTCACTGTGATGAAATGTAAAATAAATAACATTTTTCTTTAAAAATGAGTTTTTATTTAATTTTAGTTATCATCTAACTTTTCCACACTGACAATCCCTGGAAATCCCCATAGACAGCCCTACAGAAACTGTTGTTGCAATCCCCTATACAGTTAAAACTTCAAAAAAAAAAATCAAATAAAGGTATAGTGTTACCACTCGGTGACTTCTTTAATCGTGCTATTTATGTAACTGTAACTACATGTCCATTTTTATATATTCAGATATATATATATATATATTTATGTACAACAGATTTTTAAAAATAAAAAAAATGTTGGTTACCAAGGTAACATTGTGTTATTTGATCAATAATAATAATATTATTATTATTATACAAAATAATATATGTAAGGTAGTATATATAATGTAAAATCACAGAATTGTTACTTATATAAAATAATGACGTTAAAGATAACTAAAATATTTTGTTTGTAATTTGCTTTTATTAAATTTTATTACATTTCCTTATACATACTACAAATATCGATTATGGAAGAATTAAAAGACAAAAGTTTGCATTTAACTGCAGAAAAACTAGCTGAAGAACTACAAAAAATGGACAATTATAATGGGTTTTATGAAGACTTGCAGGTATAATGTATAAATATTATATAATCTGGCATAATATATAATTTAAAAATTAGTATAATTATATAGGTAGATATTTCATAAATTGTTTCTATTGATTTAAACAACTTGTATTTTAGATTCGGTTACTATGATGTGTATTTTTTTTTTGTATTTCTTTTTTCTTTGTCTCTGATGAACTTTTATACCAGAAATCTTGCTTCGATGTATAAAATGTAGCACTTTTTCTGAAAGGAAATTGTATCTATAATTAGTGCATATAAGAAATAATTTTTTGATTTTCATAATACTTAAGAAAAACCAGAAAAACAATTATTGGAATAACGTTAAATATTTATTGCACTCCACCGACGTTACTTATTTCATTGTTTTTTATTTTTGAAAAATTGTTTTCTACAAGAAATACTGACTTAATCAAAAGAAGAAGAAAAGTGACTTTTTTTTGTTGCATTTTGAATTTGGTTGCTCACGAAGTAAGTTAATTTTTGATTTTCCAAGTAGTTTTTATAATAATGAAGAAAATCTGGAAAGAACAATTAGTGAAAACTGATAAATTTACAGTGTTATGGTTTCTTTAATTCAAATTTGTATGGCTTATGTTTCTATAAAAAATATTGCTCCAATAAAAAAACAACAATAGACCTTTTTTGATGTAGTTTTTGGACAAGAAAGTAATTTTTTTGTTTTTCCAAAATTAAAATTTTAAAAACACATTATTTATTTTTGAGCTATTTATACAATTTTTAATTTTGGTAGATTTTTCATGCAATTTTAATTTAGTAGGTAGTTACTCTGTGGATGAAATTGTAGATTAAAAAAAAATGATTGAAAACATAAGGTTCATTATAAGTTATAATGTTGTAAATTACAAGTTAATGGTAAAAAAAAAAAAATTGAGTGTAATTTACTAATATTTTTTTATATATAAATTATATAAATATAAATTAAATTTATGTATCCTACCTTTCCAACTTTCTATCAATAACCTCTAGGGCTGGTAGATGGGTAGCTCACCCATCCCCAGTATCAGCTCTTTTTTAAATTGTAAATAGCTAAATTTGTACCGCCTCATCAATTTGTTTCAAAAGTAAAATTTATTTTGAACTAATATAATACCTATTATTATAGTAAAATCAAAGCTAATATTATATTATTTTATTCACGTATACCTACGTCATTAAAAAGCTGTCCGAGGATACAGCCATTGTTGTAGGTGGGAAGTCGAGAAAGTAGGATAAAGACTATAATTTAATGTATATAATATGTAAGCAACGATTAACCATTGCTAATAATAAAAAAACGATTCTGAGCGGAGTTGATAATGTTGCTTTGTCAACAATACCAAGTGATCTATTTAAGTGGGAACACTCCTTATCTCGGAAAGTACTAACTTTTTTTCGGAATTTGATTTCTAGAATGTTGAAGAAGCAAGCTGCTCTATAATTTTGTATTTATGTTATTTTTTGTTACCCTTATTTTTGGAGGAAAACCATTAACCACCAACTACCTTCTTTTGATATTTACATAGCAACCTATATTAAAAATTCTAGTATTAGGGTATTAGTAAGTATTTTCGTATTGAAATTTTTGATTTCTATTAATCCATTTATGAGATGTTGCACTTTTAAGTTTAAGTTGGAAGAGAGTAGTAGAGTATCATTTGTGTGGCGGTACGGCGTGTTCCCAATTTATTGGGAAAATTCCTAAGAAAATCAAAAAATCTGACCCCCTTGAGAGGTATGTCCGTGAATTTGTTCCTCCGACTTTGTCCGATCGATTTGAAAAGTATGCCAATATTTTGTAAACTAATTTTTAGAATTGGCAAATCAGTTATTCAAGTTTTATAACCTAAAAACCGGTTTGGGCGGTCAACTTCACGTAGTTCCTCGACTTTGTCTGAACAATTCGAAAAGTATGCCATCATTTTAAAAATGAATAGAGACCCGTAGTTTTCATAAAATACTTATATTAGCCTTTTAGCTTTTGTAGTTTTTAGTAAAATTTTAGTAAAATTTTCAAAACATTCTAGCTCTTATAGATTATTTATAAGTATTTGATGTTTGTCTTTTTACATGTATTTTTTTTTCGGTAGGTATCTGTAATTAAAATTTTATCACTAAACAGAAATTATTGAAAATTTAACACAAAGTTCATTATAAGTTGAACTTGGTGGTATAAAAATAAATTTGAATTTAATGCATTGGTTGTTTATACAAAATATTGGCATACTTTTCAAATCGATTAGATATAGTCAGGGGGCCAATTTCACGGATATTTAAGAGGTACTTTATCTCTCCAGTCAGATTTCCTTTTAGAAAAAGTGCTATCATTGTAAATCTGAGCGTAATTAATGGTAGAAAAATTATCCGCAGAAAAAAAAAAATCATTGTAAATTTAATACATTCCTTGCTCCACTCAAAATCTAAAATTGAATAAAACTACAAAATACAAATAATAATTATTATTGTTGAAATTTTCAGCATTTACTTATTTTTAAACAATAAATAATCTATCTATTTACAATGTAATATACTTAATTGTTTTTTTGTTTATTTATTAGGTGTTGGCTGCTTCTCATGACGTATCCATTGACGACTTTAAAAGTACTTTAGTTCAAGCTGTGAATAAAGGGAGTATGGAAATAAATCTTCGAAATGCTGTATTTCATTGGTTAAGAAGTCATGGAAACAATAAACAAACAGTGGTTAGGGATGAAATTACAAGTAGAGAATCATTAGATTATTTGAGGAAAGCCCAAGTAATTTGTATATTATGTCTAGTATAATAGTAATATTATATAACTGTACAATTGTTTGAATTATTTCTTTAAATGTAGATAACATGGGAAAAAAGGATTCAAAAATCATTAGAATCTATGTGTGAAGAAATAGGTATAAATCTGTCTTGTTATAGATCAATTGGAGACCGAGAAGAAATGTTACAAAAATGGAATGAACTCAGTACATACAACACTAGTAAGTTGTTTTATTATTTTTAATCTATGTTTAGGTATTTACAAATATAGAATAAAATATGTAAGTATCTGGGCCATATTTAGAGAGTAGCTCGGATGGACAATTGCTCGCAATATAACTTTTTAGGGACGCCGAAAAAATGGTTAAAAAAAATTTAATTTAATTTAATTTTTTTTTCATACCCAATGTATTTTATCACGATTTATTTATTTTACTTTTATAATTATAAATAAAACGTAGTAAAATATATCGATAACGATATCTGTGAATGTGTATTGACCGGCGGTTATGATATAATCTATGAATAATATGTCACCTCAGTATTTATACCAGTTGGTGCCTAAAATAATATGGGTACAAACATGTTTGTTTGTCATGTTTGTTTACGAAAACGATTGGGTTATTATTAATATTATTATGTTTGTGTTTTTAAAAACTCATTTTATTTAAAAAATATTAATAAATACGGCCTTGTAGGTTTACTAACATTTAAGTTATAAAGTAAAGCATAAAGTTAATGGTACCATTTGTAAAAATAATAGAGCTGAATACACAGTCAAACATTTTTTTTCGATTCAATAGTAGAGAAAATGTAAAGGGGACGCACGGAAATAGTGTAGCCCGAGGGTGCCAAAACACTAAATATAGCCTTGGACTAAATTATAAAATATTAAAAAAAAACTTAGTAGATAGTAGGTAAAAAGAGCTGATATTGCTGTCTATTATATGCCACTGTAGGTGGGAATTTGAGAGGCAGGATATATAGTTATTTAATTTGCAAACCGCCATTTCACCCAGATCAATGTGTTGAAACTATTTCGTCGCGACTTATTCTCTACAATATTTTGCCGCTGTAACGGTTCAGTTATGAACCAATTAGACACGAGGAATAATTCTCCGCCAAACTTTTTACTGATGAACTGATTTGCTAGGCATATTGTTTAATCGATGGACTGATTCTTTAACCCATTTATAAATGGGATATATTCTAGATACAAACACGTTAACAAAAAAATATGTTGGTGTACATTGGTTTTAAAATCATTTTGTATACTATGCAGGTCGAGTGGTTTTTGAACGTGTAAAACAAACACCTCTTAGGGTGATTATAGATAATAGAGTTCACACACACTGTATGTAGGTACCTAATGATTAATTATTAAAAAAAGCGATTCTCAGCGGAATTCTGTTGATCAATTTAAATTAAAAATGATATCAATTTGTACCCAACTATAAAAAAAATGAGCATTATCCGTGTTTTTTCGTTTGAAAATTTGTGAATTATTTTAACCGACTGTTATCATACAATTGCAAAAATCACTAATATACTTATAATTGTTTTAAATTAAATAATATGCCGTACACTGTAGCAACGAATAAATCTGTGGGTAAAAATGATACATATCCCCCCTCTCCATGGAATTAACCCGAAGACGCCCCTGAGTAATACTATTAACTAAGCTCCGCTCAGAATCATTTTTTGTTGACAATGCTTAAATTTGCTTAGGTAAAGATATACATTAAATTTCCCTCAATATCCTACTTTCCCAACTTCTCATCTATAATAATGGTCCACCCATCGTGCGAAGTATATCCGTCTTTTTTTCTTATCAACCATTAATATTAAATTTAATTACTTCGCTTCCTCTCATAGTTAAGGTCTGGAGACGCCCCTGATTATAGCTAACCCAAAACGATTTTGAGCGATGTTCCACAAAAGATGTTTTCAAGTACAGCGATATGTACAATTTTCTTCAAAATTTGAATTCAAACCTTTTATTAAATAAAAACTACTAGGTATATTACAATAATTATTTTTTATTACCAGATACAACTTAGGGTAGTAAATTTATGTGTTATATTTATGCCTGTGCCAAAAAAGTTTTATTCATATAAATCAATTATTTTGTGATTATGTGAATATAGTTTTTTAACAAAATGCAAAAAATATCATAATTTTTGTCAATTTCCATTAAAATTTTATATTATTAAAATCAATGCATTCCTTGCTGTGCTTAAAATCTGAAAGCTTTAAAAGAGACATCAACAAATTTATTTTTACTATTATTATTAGCTATTTTCATAATCTTCGTAGATAAAATGTTATTCATGTAATTTTATTTTTAAGGTTTAGAAAGGCTGAGACCAGTGTATGCACCAAAAGATTTTTTAGAAGTATTATTTTCATTGCATAATCCTAATTATCGGATGATATCGTGAGTATCTAAAAATACTAAAACTAAAAAACTTTGTATGAAATTGTCCGGAAAAAAAATGATACATGAACTTTCTATTGCTATAATATATTTCTTCATTACTTTTATTTGATCTAGAAAAATTAAAAAAAGTATTCTGATTTACTGATAAAAAAAATTTTAATTAACAGTTTTATTATTAATTTACAATATTTTGAATTACTTACAACCTATAAAATATAAATAGGTATTATTTTTAAAATTGTGTTTCTTAACTTCTTTCTATACTTTTAAGCTAGAACTAAATATATTAGAATATACTAGTATTTCTTAAAAAAAAAAAAAGTAATAGTTCTAGTTATTTTATTTTTATTTTAAACACTCCTACATTATCCATAACAAATATTGACAAATATAAAGATAAATTTATATTTTAAATTTTATGTCCAGAGACGATATGATTTGGGACTTTACATACTTACCTCTCAAAGTTAAAACCCTTTCAGAACTTGTAAGTATTTTTTAAATAATATTATTTAACTACTGACTGTGACATATCCAGAATTTTTTCCAGCAGGTTTTCAATATATTCTTATTATACAGATTAATAGGAAAATTGTTGATAAAATTTGTGTTTACATCACTCTTACAATAAATACTATAAATACAATTGTACATACATAATAGTTTTGTTTGTTTTTTAGAAACACTTTTACAGAGATTTGGCTACAGCCGATTTGTTATTAGGTTTAACGACATTGACAACGATTTCGGGTGGTTCAACATCACAGGGAGAAAAAGACCGAATTATTAGAGGAGAAGAAGGTAAAATACAAATTATCAAATGTGTACATAATAATGGTAACAAATTAATAATGTAAGTATTTTCAGTTTTAGCACATCAGCATGCACCTGTGTGTCAAGAGTATTTAAAATTGGGTGCACCACGTAGTCTTCGAGGTAGACTTTGGTCACAAATACTTGGATCTAATGTGAAGTCGTCGGTAATTTAAAATCGAGACTATATTTTAGTCTATATTAAGTGAATTAATAAACAAAAAAAATAATAACAAAGTAGGTATTATTGTAATAATTATTTGTTTAGTAATTTATTAAATTGTTTAGGAACATGATTACTTGGAACTTAAACAACGTGTGTTACATTACGATATTTTGATAGACAAATTAATCACAAAGGACGTTCAACTGACAGCATGCAATGACGACCAATACTTTGTGTTCGAAGACGTTTTGCATCAGGTAATATAAAAAAAATGTCTTATATTGTCAATATTGTGTCATTAATTAATTATTATAATTATTACATAATTTTACCTATCTACCTATTTAGATAATGTTGTGTTTTACTCGTGACACTAGTGTGTTGTCAGTATTCAATAGCTCGACTAGCCGTCCAATTTTAACATGGTTAAAGAGTAAACCGCCCAAAGAGACGACATATCCTCCAAATGGCATCATACCTTTTCACGGTTTCACAATGTATGGTAAGCATACAGCCAAAATATAATGTTTGTGTCTATATACTTATTTAATTGTACAATGTCCTCTTAAGTTTAAAATTTTTGAAAAAAAATTTACCTAACCAACTCTAATATTCTTTAAACTCATTTAAAACTTTGTAGTTTTTTTTGATTGATAAATTTTAAAACTGAAAGTAAATCTTATAAAAATACGATCATTTATAGTTTTCACAATACTATGTACATATTTATTTCTAAAACTTCTTCAAAAAAAGTAGGTATCTAGGAGTGTAAAACAATATTATTATTTTTAATATAGTATAGACAATTTTTTTCAACCTATAAATGGTAATTACTTTTAAAAACCTTCCATAATAACTAATAAGTTATGCAATTTTAAAAACTATTAATAATATAAAAGCACAATATGTTGGTAAAAATGTATTTTATATAATAAAAAATATGAATTAATTTTATACTTATCAGATTTTATGTATTTTTATAATTAATGAACATTATTCAATTATTTTATATTATAATTCTTTTTGATTAAAGCATAATATTAATAAGTCATAAAATATTATAGTATATTAAAATTATTAATACAGTGATATAAAAGCACTGCTATATGGAACTTTACAGATTGAATTAAAATGATACATTTTTTATTTTAAAAGCCCGTAATTTAACACTCCAATGAATGGTGGATCAATTTAAAAAAAACCTACTAGTCATTATATTGAAAAAGGTTCCGTTTTGCATGAATATATTTTAATTTTTAACCATTGAAAATCATGACATCCATGAGACTTACTATTTAAAAACCATTACTAAAATTAAAACTTAATAACCTAAAAAAAAGAACTGATACTAGGTACAAGTATAGCACTGTTGGAGTTGGGAAGTTAGGAAGTTAAGATACATAATGTTATTTTATTTGTATCTGTAAGCAACGATAAACCATGGCTAATGAAAAACGATTCGAAGGAAAATTCAGTTATAAATGTTTTGAAGCCGTAATATTTACAATTTTTATCAAAAATTTACATTTTAATGCTTATAAAAAAATATACTACATTACATTCATTTTTTTTTAATCTCTAAGTAGAAATTATAATGAACCTCTAGTTCAATTTTCAACCATTTCAGTTTAGTCTAACAATTGTATACACAAAGTACCTACCAAATAAAAATTAAGTAAAAAACTCTCAAAATAAAATTATCTATAACTAGCTCAAATATAAATAAAATGTTTTGAAAATTTTACCACATCTAGAAAAAGGAAATATAAGTTTTCTGTCAAATTTTCAAGTCTACAAATATTTTTAATTGAATTTCAACAAAAAACACAAATGAAGATAATAAAATTATTATTTTTTTTTACATTTTCCCTTTCTTTCTTGATTTCTTTTGGTTTTTGCAAAATTTATTAAAAAAAACTACAGTGTTTCTTAGTGTTTTACTGGAGTAATATTTTTAGTAGATAAAATAACTCATGTAAAAACAATGAGATTGATAACACGCATTGTAAATATTTGTCATTTTACCTATATTTTGTTGCCGGTTTTTCCTAGATATTTTGAAAATCAAAAATGATCTCTAATATGCCTACTAGATAAAATTTTTTTCAAAAAATGTATTAAATCCGTCTATTCAAAAGTTATCAGATTCATTATTACACTCCGAATCGAAAATTAGATTGTTCAAATATTATAATATAGGTATAAGGAATTTCACTCAAAGCACTATTTCATTAACTACAATTAAAATACTATTATAGCTGCTCCAGTTTGCTACCTATTCAACGACCCTGTGCCTTTATACTTCACGTTTAGAGCGTTTTACCAAAGATACTGGTTCAGACTACACGAAATAAGTTCGCACCCACAAGGCATATTGGGTTTATGCATTCTGTTTCAAAGACTTTTGCAGAGACATGAGACCAAAATATGGTCACATTTCATGAGCAACAATATTCACCCGTAATTATCATAAGAGTATTATGATTATCACTTATGTATTATATTGTACAGAATTTAAAAAAAAAATCTACCTTGTATTATAGCATCAGAGTGGTTTTCAAGTGGCTCATGAAAGGTTTTAGTGGATTTTTACTCCCGGAACAATTGCTCAACTTGTGGGATATGATTCTAGCCTACGATTCTCTAGAGGTATTACCACTTTTGGCTGTCACTATTCTAAGTTTCAGAAAAGACAATCTACTTCAAGTTAACACATTACCAAATGTGGAAGTGAGTATTGTTTTGATTATATTAAATGGAATAATGTTATTATTTACTCGTTATTGTTATATTATAGGCGAACAAATATTTTTTTATTTTTTTCTAGTCGGTTCTGATCGATTTATCATCATTAAATGTAATGTCTCTGTTACAATTGGCACTTAAAGGACCAATAAAAATGTAATTTAATTAAAAATGTATACATTTTTTTAATCAATTAAAAATAAAAGTAATTAACAAATCACAAAAATATGCAAAATCATAATAAAATTAAATAAACATTAGTGGAAATGTTATATTTTCCTCTTACATTCACAATTTAAATAATTATTTGTATTTCCATTCTCCATGTGTGAGTTAGTCATTATAATTATAGTAATGCATAATACAATTCATATAATTTTAAAACCATAAGTACATTATAAATAAATTTAACTTTGTTATATGTAAATTTTAGTTTGGTAACATTACGTCATAGTTATAAAAATAAATAAATATAATTAATAAAATACTGTTTCAAATATTTGAATAAATGCTTTTATTCACTTTTATTTGCGCTTAAATTAAAAAAAAAAGGAATCGATAAAATACGTTTAAAATATAAAACAGTTCGACATTTTTACAGACTTAATATTCTTCATATCCTCTAGAGTATCAGGCAATACTGTACCTTTTGTTTCTGGTAACATAAGAACCAAACTTGCAACAAAAATACACAGTATTCCACATACTGTACTTGGAATGTACCATGCTTTTGCTCCCTAAAGTAATCAACAAAATCCAAAAATGATTAGTTATTGTTAAGGAAATAGGAGGTAACATGCATAATTGATATTACCAATAATTCAACTACATATGGCGCAATAATAGTTCCTATTTGAGAAATAGTCAATGATGTTCCAAGACCAGTATTTCTTATTGCAGTTGGATATAGTTCTGATATAAAAAGTAAACAAACTGAAAATACAGCGCTTACACAAAATTTTCCAAGCATAGCCATAAACAATAAAAAATATGGCTGTTCTAAAAAGACATTTAAATATAATATGTAAAATAAATTAGCTTTCATGGATTTATGTTATTATTAAGAGGATGTTATACCAGCATCTATTATCTCAGTCTAATAACCGGGTACCATACGAAAATAATGATTACGCAGAATAAGTAAAACTAGCTTAATTTTGATTTTAGATAAAAATTACCTATTTTTAAAATGTATAGAGAACATTATTTTGGAGAGAATACTATATGAATGCCATAAGAATTTTTTGAATTATAAACTATTATAAAAGTTAGTTATTTAAAAAATAAACAAAAAAAGATTTTTGTATCTTTTATATTGAGCTGTATATTTTGAATAATACAAAAACTCTATGCCTTCAAAATACTGTTCCCTATAAATTTTATAATAGGTACTTTTACTCTAAAATCAAAATTAGGCTAGTTTTACTTATTCTGCAGAAACATTGTTTTGTATGTAGTTGGACTGAGACAATAGATGCGGATATAATGACCTCTTAAAAAGTATTATATCTTTTTATCTACCTTCTGGAGGCATTGTAAACAATGAGAGCTGTAATATTCCAGATATGAAAAATAAACCTGAAACTGCTTTTTTACGTCCAACATAAACTAATAAAGGAACTGTTGCCACATAGGCTATACCTTCAACAACTCCATTCAACGCAATATATACATAACGATCAGCAGAAATGTTATCACCATTCAATGCTAATGCATTAGAATAATACCAATTAGAAAAAATGTTATTAATGTACAATCTTAAAAAGTTAAAACAACATAAAATTATTTTATCTTTTGCATTCAAGATTATAAACAACTTCAATGTTTTCAGTTTATTGTTTATTTATATATTTTTTAATTTTAAAAAAGACCTACTTTATTATGTGTTGACAATATCGAAAATTCAAAGTTTTAAAATTATCTAACAAAATATGTGATAGTAAAGTGAAGTACAGAAAATTAATTAGGCCTTTAAACATACAATTGTTACTAAACCAAAATCATCACCAAAATGAATAATCTACACTCCTTGTTCGAAATATTTTGAATTATAATATCTTGAGATATGTTTGTTTTTCTATACATTTTCTGAAAATATAACATTAAAAGAAAACTCAAACAAAAAGTTTTATAACTTTACATTAAAGACTAAACAGCTGCAAAAAATAAATGAATTATAAAATAAAAATAATAAAAAAATTAATAGCTTATTACCAACAAGTGTTAGTGATACAATATGCAATAATTATTAATGATAAAACTTCATTATTTACTATATTATATGCTGTTTAATTTTGTTTAGAACATTTCAATTCTTGAATAAAATACTCAAATAAATTATATTTTTATCTGAAGCCTAAACATTAAACAAATTAAAATCTAAGGAATAAACATATAATTTAGTTAAATAAAAATAATAACAAAAATTCTAGTTCCTACAATATATACTTTATTTATTTAATATAGTTTTTTGATAAAGTTAAATATATTTTTTTGATAAAGTTAAATATATTTTTGTTACAGGAAATACATATAGCTTTAATAAAAATAACTATTTACTATTGAGTGATGTTCATTAACTTCTTTTTCTTCGAATAATTGTGTATCAATATTATATATTATCAAATACAACTTACCAATAACGTAATATGATAAACCACAAACAAATCCACAAGTAAAACAAATAAGAGTTTTTGCAGATAAATCCCAAGTAGAAAACAAAGATGTAAAAGTTGATAAAAATTCCATACATTTTCCAGAAGTCTTTTTTGACTACTTTGTTTAAACAAAAATGGTTTTTGTCAACAAAAAAAAAGTATTAATTAAATATTTTATACATTTAGATGTAGGTATTCAGGATTAAACATCATTTGATATAAAAGTAATACTTTATGATAACAAAAGTTCTACTATTTATCATTTGAATAATTCTTAATTGACAAACCTTTTGACTAATGTCAATTTGGTGATTGTTATCTTCATTGTTTTCAACATAACTTGCAGATGGAAGAAGTTTAGTCATGACATCCCAAGCCTGTCTTTTTCTTCCTTGAGACATTAACCATTTAGGAGATTCAGGTAGATACCTATACATAATTATTAATACATACAAATAAATAATAATCTATGTACCTTAATTTATACAATTAAAAAAATCACCAGCATTGTATTAACAATCCAAATAAAGGCAAAGATAATGTTAAAAGCAATTTTCTCCATAGCCGTGTATAATAAGCCACAATTGATAATAAAACATAACCAATTGGATAAGATAAATTCATCAAAAGACAAAGTAATGTACGAGTTTTACCGCTTGTTAATTCTGTCGCTGAAATTAAAATGAATTTGTGTTTTAATATATTTACTAATGTCATGTATACAATATTGTCCTTCAAATTGCACACCTATTGTGTAAGAAGATTCATACACTCCAGAACCAGCTACACCTATTAAAAATCGTATGATTAAAAAAAAAATGTATGAATCAACTAAGGCAGCGGATGGTCCTGAAAACATGTATATAAAAACTGCCAGGTTAAATGCAAACTTCCTGCCATACGTATCCGAAATTGAGCCAAAGATAAATCCGCCAACAAATTTTCCAAAAGCTATAGCTGCTTGAATATTAGACTTGAGTGCTACATTATCACACACTAAATTCCACTGAAACATTTTACAGAATATGGGTCATTTATTTAAATGAAATTATGTAAGTGTACATGTGTTGCAGATAGATTAAAAATAGTACATACTTCAGATACAACAGATTCCCTACTACTATAATCATAATACTGACATTTTATTAAATTAGCATTATTTAAATGTTGCATTGACCAATTATAGCCATTTTTGGCAAATATTTGATAATTTCGATTGTAATATGAACATTCCTCTATTTTTTCAGGTAAATAATTTGTATATCTATAAACAATAAATAATATATGAATAATAATTAAAACAAAATAAACAATTTTAATAGTAAAGTCACTTCATATACTTCTCAAATTAAAACAGTATGGTACTATGATATCTAAATTTTGTCACACAGAACTTAAGTTGTTGTATTAAAGTTCAATTTAGAGTTTAACCTTTTACTACATTTACAGAGAATTCTTTAAAAACAATATTAATGTATCTAATATCTATCAAACAAGTTAAATAAAACATTTTATTACTAAGATTTTGAAAACAAAATTTGAATTCATATTTTTAGTTATTATTAATTCACCTCATGGGTAATATGATGCAACAAGTTTAGCAAAACCAGCACCAACTGGTGAAAAATTCAGGTGGGTGATTCCAGTAGGCATATGGTAGTGTTTATAAGGTGATGGGGGTAATTCACTTTACAATTGACAATACGATTTTTCTTATGAGAGATGATCAGAATACTTCCACGGTACCTCTATCTGTCATAAAAGACTTGATTAGGTTGTATCAATTCGATAACCGGTGTAAAATTCTGTCAGTATGAGAAATTCTAAACCAAGACTTTGGTAGATTGTCTCATCTTGAATGTGCGCAGGGACAACAAGAGGAGGTACCATGGTGCATGATGTTTGCAGGTAATATAGTTTTGGTAGGAGAAAATCTGGAATAGTTTAACAATAAGCTTGAGGAATGGAAAGCAACTCTTAAAGGAAAGCAAATAAATATAGGTAGAAGTAAAACAAAGTATGGAAGAACAGAACAAAACAACTAACGATAATAAGTGGTTATAGGCAAGATTGAGTTCTAAGTATCTAGAATCTTTTGTACAAAAACAGTGGCTTTTGTGAGGATGTGAAACGTAGGATTAAGTGTGGTTGGATAAGGTGGAGAAAATTGTCAGATCATAAAAGAACTGGACAGTAAACAAAATAAAACAGAGAATAAGTGTAGCAGAGATGAGAATGATTAGGTGGATGAATGGAGTGACAAGAGAAGATAGGACAGGGATGAGTTCATAGGGAGTAGCTTGGGTATGTCTTCCATAGTAAACAAAATGAGAAAAAATAGACTAAGATGATTTGGGCATGTCACGGGAAAAGAGGAATCTGAAGCAATAAGAATTGTAATATAAATAAATGAATGAGGAGTGGTGGAGAGGAAAACTGAAAAGGAGGTTGTTGGCTGTAAGTGATATAAAGTCAGCCGATGAATACAAGGTGGGATATTGGGTCAAGTGGAAGTTTAGAACGAGGGTTTACTGACTCTCATAGCTGGGATGAAGGTGAAGGAGAATATGTTATTAGTTAACATGCCTAATTAGAAACTTAAAATAAATTATGTTTTAGAAAAGATATTTAAATCTTACTGTGTAGAAACATTTAAGATCATTTGGTTACTCCATCCTGCTGCTTTCAAAACAGGGACATCACACCAATAGGAAGGTTTGTCAACTAGGAACACGTATGTCGATATCTGTATAGCATTGAATATTCCAGGAGTACCGACCAACAATAATAAAAGGAATGCCTGACGCCATTCTTTGGAATAGTTGTCAATGCATTTGTCCAAATCGTCAACCATTTTACAGCTGATAGCGCATACATGTAAATTGGCCCAGCAATGGAACTGTTATAGTACTAAGTTTGCAATGACCTTTTGAATAACAGTCATAATAATGTCAAATAAAAAAATTATAATCTCATGAATTATGTAATAAATAAATTTAGTTGGTAATTATTTACTTATAATATAAATTACGTTTCAGCAGTCACCTTTTAACTGCAATCGTTATTCGTCAATATTATATTAATGTACATTGCGAACTGGTCTACTGATCTATAATCTGTAGCTATTACCTAGTTCTGTAGTACTGAAAATAGTAATAAATTAATAATAAAATAAAACAGGTAAAACATAATTTTATTTGCTTTGGGTTTAAGATAATGTTTCAAAAGATTGAATTTTTTTTTCTATATAACTGATACGAGAAATCGATGTTGATAACAGAATTACACAATACTTATCTTCATAGATAATAAAGATATCTTTATTATATTTTTAAGATTAAGATATATTTCAAATCGTGCTATGCATATCGTAAAAATATTTCACTTTCGTTCACAAACCAATGTGTACTAAATATATCTTAGTTCGTGCTTTCGATTCTATTTTATAAAATAATTAATTTTTTGTTCATTATGCAAAGTGGGGTAAGTACTGGTGCAACACTAACCGAGGTTTCTAGGAGGTGTACAAATTTGGAAAATGAAATAAATATATTTAATAAAATTCCATATAGGGAGTACTAATGTAACTGACCATCATTTTTCCTCGACTCAATGAAATATGTAAATGTCTAGTTGTGTCTATGGGTTATGGTTATTATAATACTGCCCAACCAAATTGTTTGGTGAGTGGTGCCAGCGGTGAGAAACATAATAATAATATATATAGATTTATATAAATTATTATTATATACAGGTGTCCCGCGAGGATTCAACAAATGCAATAAATTTTGTTTTATTCGATATTTTTGATATAGGTACATTATTGAAAAAATAATTAGTATGCCTCAGCGCTACAGTTTATATATGAACATTTTTTTTTAGAGGAAGGGGGATTTAAAATAAAAAAATTTAAAATTTAATTATAATTTTTTTAAAAAATTTAAAATAGATTTTTAGAAAATCTTTTGATGGTTGAAACTTTTGTTAAAGTATGGTCTTTTATTTTCTACGATTTTTTAAAGTTTAATAATTTTTTTATCAATCACAATATTGTTTACTACCTAATAACTATAATATGATAATTTTATTGCATGGAAAATAAAATCCTGACTAATAACTGAGTAACCACAATAGGTAATATTCACATTTACAAAAACTTCAAAAAATAATAAAAAATAAAAAATCATATTTTAACAAAAGTTTCAACCACTAAAACTATTCTAAACATCTATTTTACAAAATAGATGTTTTAAATTTTTTTAAAAAAATTATAGTAAAATTTTAAAGTTTTATTTCAAGTCCGCCTCCCCTACAAAAAAAAATATGTAAAATTAAAATGTTTACAAATACTTAGCTCAAAAATGGCTACAATGTTTTGATAATTTTACCGTATCTAGAAAAGGCAAATATAAGTTCTCTGTCCAAATTTCAAGTTTTTACAAATATTTTTAACTGAATTAAAACAAAACAAGATACGGACATATTTCGTACAATGGGTGGGCCACCATTGTATGTGAAAAATTAAGAATGTAGAAGGGAAATTTAATGTCTATTTGTAGGCAATGATTAACCATTTCTAAAAAAAAACGATTCTGATCGGAATTCTGTTAATAATGTTGCTTTATCAACAATATATATGTTATATTATGGTAAAATAATTATACATATACAATATACATTTTTATAATAATATTTGTTTAATATTATACCTATTTTCCAGTTATTTATTTATTTTTTTCCATTTATTGGGAAAAATTCTGAAAATACTAAAAAGTGACCTTCTTAAAATATTTACTACCCTAATCAGATTTCCTTTCAGAAAAAATTACTATGATTGAAAATCGGAGCAAAGTCGCTGATAGAAAAATTGTTCACTGATAAAAAAAATCTCTTCTACGTAACTTCTTTACATCGTGGTATAGGTAAAATGTTTTTATGTTTATTGTCTTTGATTAGATATATCATAAATCCTAATATAAAATTTTAAATTTTTATATTCTTAGTCCATGGTTTTACAAAACAAAATATGTGGTAAAAATAAAATATTTTTTGTTACTGTCGCTCCCTTCCCCCCTGAGAAATATTTCTTTGGGCGGCCTTAAATCATGGGTATAATTTGTAATATTCAACCATAGAAAAGGCAGTAATACAACTCTAACGTCGCAATAATCATTTATCAAATCTTTTAATAGTTTCAAATATTATTATACATTTTATTTTATTTTCAACGGACGAGACCTTATTTTACATATAGTACTTACCTATTATAATTTCAGAATACAGAAACCATGAATTAAAGAAATTAAAAATGAATAAACAGGGTGCTTTATACATATACATCGATACACAAATTTATTTTTTAATTTTTCTAAGAGGGAGGGGTCTAAATACATTAGATATTTAATTTTAAGCATTATTTTTCCTAGATTCACAGTAATAGTAGTAAAAAATATATACTTGTATACATTTTTAATGTTTTATTTATTTATTAACGAGTTTGGAGCCTAATAGAACTATACAATTTACAGTAATAAATAAATTTGAATAATATAGCATAATCATTAAAGTAAGTAAACAATACAAAGTATTTAAATAACAAATGGTAATTATAAAATCAAAAAAAAAACTCAATTTAAGTTTTGGACAGAAAAGAATACGCAAGGCTTTCTTACTAGGAACAATATTAATACTTAAACCATTTATCAAGTACATGTAGTTAATGGTATTTCTATTCCTAGAAAAAGACATGGATTGTCATTTTCCTAATATTAAAGCCAAATCCAATAGAATTAAACCACAAGCCAAGAGCATCAAACTCTTTCTGGAGGATAACACAATCAATTATTGATTACATTTTCCTGACGATTTTTAAATCGTCAGTAAACATAAGAAACTTAAAATCTGGGATAACTAATTTAAGACCATTAACCAATAAAGTATGATTAGGAACAAGAAAGAATGGGCTCCTCAAATCCAGCATTATAAAAAACCCTCAATTAGGATTTTATGATCAACTCGATCAAATGCTTTGGAGAAATTCGTAAAAATAACATTCACCCGAGTTTGTTTTTCAATGACATCCAATACAAAATTACGAAAAACTATCAGATTATTAGTAGCAGAATGGCTAGGGTTGAAACCATATTGTTCATCAACTAGGATAGAATTAACCTAACCGATGGCTGTATACAATTTAGAACAAGCAGTTCAAAGAGTTTAACAATGAGATTTTGGATCAAAATTGTAATTCTTTACATCAGTTTTATCACCAGCCTTATACACAGCCATGACAGAACTAATCTTAAACATAGATGGAAAAATTCCCGAGTCCAGGGAGCGACGAAATATCAACCAGAGAGTAAAGTTGAGAGCAGATCTTATGTTATATAGGAACGTTCCTGGCAGACCATCAAGACCGGTAGAATTTGAAGGTTCTAACTCAGATAAACCAAGTTCGATATCATTAATAGAAAAGGTTAAAGTAAGAGAAAGAAATATCAGAAAAAAATATTTTAGCGGGTATAATACATGACACCATAATACATGACATTCGACGTTGTATTGTTTGAAAATTAATTGAATTCATACAAATACCAATTAAGATTGTTATTAAGTTCAGGAAATATTGATAAATTTCTATTTAAATTAATAAAAGAGGTGTATTAGGAATTCATTTAGTAGATGACCTACCGACCCTTCATGAAGTTTGATAAGTGACCTACTGACGCTTCCTCAAGTAAGAAGTTGACCGATTTACCTCTTAAATATTTAATAGGTGACCTATTGGCTGTGATTGAATTATTGGAAAGTCCAAAATTATAATTTTTGAATTTTTATCATTAATGTTATCATTTTTGTATTTTTATTTTTGTTGCTTATCGCTTAACACCGGATTTAAAAAAATTACGATTACATTTACCATGTGTCATGTGAGAAGAAAAACTGAGAAGACAGAATTGTAATTATAAAATTCAAACTTCGAATTTTACTATGCGAACTGTATATTTTAAAATTTATTTTGTGTATATTGAATAATTTATTTAATTATAATTATGAGTGATAAATTAAATAATGCTGCTAGAAAGCAGCCTATACAAATATTTCGTACCAAAGAAATCATTAAATCACGATCTATGTTACCAATTATTGGTGAAGAACAAGTAATTATGGAAGCAATCAATGAAAATGATGTTGTTATTATAGTTGGAGAAACAGGTAGTGGCAAAACAACCCAAGTACCTCAATTCTTATATGAAGCAGGCTTTTCAAGGTAAGAAAGTTTAGATATGATAAATATTAATTTCGCGCCTGAATATTAATTATTAATGCATTTGGTTTTATTTCCAGTGGAAATAAAATGATTGGTGTCACAGAACCTAGACGAATTGCTGCAATTTCTGTATCTCAACGAGTTGCCGAAGAGCTAAATAAAACGTCTGACATTGTTTCATACTTAATACGTTTTGAAGGCAATGCAGGAACTAATACAAAAATAAAATTTATGACAGATGGAGTATTGTTAAAAGAGATTCAAAATGTATGTTTGATTTTTTGTTAGTTTAATTGAGTAACTAACCAGTAGGGTGGATTTATAGAATTTATTGACATTTCATAATTTATCTGTGCTAGTTCAAATCTAGTTGCTATCTAAGTACTGTAGTGTATTAATTTATTTTATTTATTTTAAATTTCAGGATTTTTTGCTTAACAAATACTCAGCAATTATTTTAGATGAAGCTCATGAAAGACGTGTATTTACAGACATTTTAATTGGAATTTTATCTCGTATTGTCCGTCTGCGTCAAAAAAGATCGAATCCACTGAAGTTGATTATTATGTCTGCCACTCTTAAAGTTGATGATTTTTCAAAAAATCAAAAACTGTTTCTTCAGCCCCCACCAATAATTGAAGTAACTAGATAGTTACTTTGCAAAATTTGATATACCTACAATGCAATTTATTTAAATTATTTCTATAGCTGAGTTCAAGGCAGTTTCCTGTAACAATTCATTTCAACAAACGAACACCAAATGATTATTTAGATGAAGCATATAATAAAGTATATAAAATTCATTCAAAATTACCAGCTGGTGCTATTTTAGTGTTTGTAACTGGTACACTGTCTATAATTGCATTATATAAATATTAATCTATACTATTTTTCACGAAAGAATGGTAGACAGTCTCGGCAAAACTAGTCGTTCTTACGCATTTCCACACTGCATCTTGCCCAGGGCTCTCACCATTATTGGGCCAGTGTAATTTTGCGGACTGCCATCGACGACGAGAGCGGTAGCAAGTAATCCATAAGCTTAGTCTGCGTGCACGAAACACTACCTTTCTCTCATGAAAAATAGTATAGTTTATATTTTAATACAATTTACTTTCTTATTTTAGGTAAATTAGAAGTAAAACAATTGGTATCTAAGCTGCGTAGATCGTTTCCATATCAAAAAGTTGATTCTAAAATTGGTTCCAAACGTAAAGTTAATATAAATAATGAAATTAAAAAACCTTTGCCTGATATTGATTTAGATGATTATGATATTGAAATTCAATCAGAAGATGAATTAATTAATTCGGGAAACTCAAGTAATGACGATGAAAATTATGATGATGATGATGATGATGATAATGAAATACCTAGTAAAATTATGAAATTTAATTCTCCTCCATTATGGGTGCTTCCTCTTTATTCAATGCTACCTGCCCATAAACAATCAAAGGTTAATTTTATTTACTATTCCCAGTAGTGGCTCGTGGTATATTGCCCAGGTGTACATGAACTGTCTACAATTTTGAAAATATATAATTACTTTATGACAATATATTATACATATTTGTTCTAAGGCAAAATAAAAATAATTGTATTTAATGTGAAAAGCCAAGAAAAATGAACGTAGGGGGTGTATAGTGGTGCAGATACAATTTTTGTACCAATCGCACATATGTATTAGACCATTTCATTCTCACTACTGGCACTATTCTCTATTAAAACAGTGATATGGGGGTGCTCAAATGAATAGTTAACTGTTGAGTTCTCTGCTGCTACAATTGTTAGTTTATGATCGGAGAGTTTCCTATGGAAGGTGGTTGTTATTTCAATATTGCTATGTAGTGTGTACACTGTACTCCGAAATTAGGTCCATTTTTCCAATCGACTGTGTTAATTTTATTGTATATAATTTTTTTAACTATATACCACCAATACTATTTTACCCACAAGCCACCACTAACTTCCTAATACAAGTACCTATTAAATAATTTGTTTTCATTTAATTTAGATATTTGAACCTGTACCTCCAGGTTGTCGTCTGTGTGTTGTCAGTACAAATGTTGCAGAACTATCTTTAACCATTCCAAATGTTAAATATGTCGTTGATTGTGGAAAAACTAAGATTCGAGAATTTGATCCATTAACTAGTGTTTCAAGATTTTCTGTGGTTTGGGAAAGTAAAGCTTCTGCTAATCAAAGAGCAGGGAGAGCTGGAAGAACTTCTCCTGGACATTGTTATCGGTAATTATCTATACACTTAAAATACAAATAAAATATGTTATTATGATTCAAAAAAAAAATTTCTAAATAAAAAATATTAATACGCATAATTCATATATTATTTTGTTTAAACAATTTATGTTTATCTTTTAGATTATTTTCATCTGCTATATTTAATGATGAGTTTCCAGAATGGAATTTACCAGAAATTCAAACTACACCTATTGATAATGTTATTTTACAAATGAAATCAATGAAAATTGATAAAATAACCCATTTTCCATTTCCTACTCCACCAGATACTCAAACAATATTAGAAGCCGAGAAAAGATTAGTTTTACTTGGTGCTTTAGAAGTAGACAGTAATATCGCAGGTGAATTCATGAATATTATAGTTAATTTAGTGGTTTGTGGTTCATTATATTTTTGATTCTTTTCTATATAGTTAGTACTCAAAATAAGGAAAAATACAGTGATCCATAATATGTACCTATACTATGTAATAAATAATATTTGAAATTATGTTTAGAAATCAACAATATTACACCTCTAGGAAAGAGCATGGCAGCTTTTCCTTTATCTCCTCATTATGCCAAGATGCTGTGTTTGAGTAAAGACCGTAGTTTATTACAGTATATGCTGTTTATAATTTCTGCTATGTCTGTTCAAGAGTATTTACCAGGAGAAAATGTTGAAGCATGGAAAAAAACCAAACTTTCATGGGCAAACAAGGGTGAATTTTTACTATTAGGTAAATTGACAAAACAAATTTTATCAGATATTTGCTACAAAATAATTATACCAAAAGTAAAGACATTTATGTATATTTAGGCACGTATACAGAAAAAAATTCAGGAGAGAGTTTTATGTAATAAAAGAGGGGGACTTTGCATGTGGGTGAGCCAGTGGTTTTAGGTGAGAAATTTAGGTGGGAATGTTAAGGAAAAATTAATTTATATCTGTGTGCAACGAAAAACAGTGCTCAGCGAAATTTGGTAAATAGTGTTGTTTTCTCAACAATATATATGTCTCATTATGGTAAAATAATTACATAATATGAATTATATTATTTTTTTAATATTTTATCTATTTTCCCGTTTTTCCTATTTATTGGGAAAACTGCAAAAATCAAAAAAATTATCTCCCTAAAAGGGCTTTCCTTTCAGAAAAAATTATTGTAATTCGGAGTAAAATTGCTGGTAAAAAGTTGTCCATAAAAAAAAAACCAAAAATAAACATTGAAAAACCAATACATTCCTCGCTTCACTCAGAATCTAGGGAATAGAATGAAGTGATATTGGAGATGGGTGTGCCATTGTTGATGGGAAGTTTGGAAAGCAAGATATATAGTTATTTAATTTATATCTGTAAGCAACAATAGATCATTGCTAACAAAAAATGGATTCAATGCGAAGTTTGGCTATACGTGTTTTTGTTTTTAAAGGCTGTAATATTTACAATTTTTATCAAAATTTGAAATTAAAACTGTATAAAAAATACTTTAACACGTTTAGAAAAAGCAAATATAAGTTTTCTATCAGAATTTCAAGTCTCTACAAATATTAAACATTATTAATGAATTACAACAAAAAAAAAATAATTTTAAATAAAATCATTATTTTGGTAATTTTACTCAGTATATTCCAATCATTATGAACACTGTTTGGAAAATCAAAAAACAAATTATTTGGTGAGCAATTAAATTCAAAATTTAAAAATAGTATCTTGTTGTTTTTCTATTGGAGCAATATTTGGGACCTCACTTATATGTATATGTGCCTGTGTGTATAATATAATACAGTAATTAATGATACGTTTTCTTTTAATTAGAAATAATCATATTAAATTTATAAATTAACCAAAATATTTAATATTAGTTTACTGAATAAATTTATAAATTAAGTTTTCATAATTGTATTTTATCTAGGTGATGTAATGATTATATTACGATCAATGGGTGGTGCAAGTCATGCTATGAATAAATCAGGTTTAGGAGCACTACAAGAATATTGTGACAAAACAGGGTTACATCAAAAATCCATATTAGAAGCTTGGAAATTAAATAATCAATTAATTAATCAACTTAATATGAATGTGCCAACATTAAAATTAGAAACAGATTTAGTTATGACACCGCCCACTCCAATACAAGTATGGTGGTAATTTATTAACTAAATAGATAACTACATTTTATGTAATTATGCATACTTAAGTAATTGGATTTTTAATGCATTTAGACCAATAAGTGAGAGAAAAATAAACATAATTCTAGTACTTATTTGAAATTAAATTTTTTTGGAAAATGTGTTCATTTTTTATTTTGTTGATCCTTTAAAGTACAAGTTCATTTTGAGAAATCAAGTAGATTTTAGATTCTGAGTGGAATGAGAAATGTATTAGTTTTATAATGATATAATTAATTTTTTTTTTTATCTGTAAACAACTTGTCTACCAGCAATTGCTTTGATCTTCAAGTGTAGCACTTTTTCTTGAAGGAATTCTAATTGGGGTAGTATTTTAGGAAGGTAATTTTTTAATTTTTCCAGCTATTTTCATAATAAATAGGAAAACGTGGAAAAATGTACAAAATTTATTATTTTTAAATTGTAAATATTATGGTCTTTCAAAACATGTTTAACCAAACTCTACTCAGAATCGTTCTTTTTAGCGAAGATTAATTGTGGTGTACAAATATACATTTAATTCTCTTCTATATCCTACCTTCCCGACTTCTCATCTACAATAGTAGCCCATCAATTTGCATAGTATATCTATATCTTTTTTTTTTGTTACCATACTACAACATTATTATTTAATAGTTTTTTTAAAAACTATAGAAAATTAATTTTCTACTAAATAGGAATAGAGCTGACGAATTTAAATTCTTTTTCAAAATAAAATTAAGTTTCCTAGAAATATGTTTATTTTTTTTTTTCACTTTTGGCGTTATTCATTGTAATGTAGATAAATATGTTTGAGCATGCCTTTTGTGACTTGTGCATGGATGTACTTATATTATACTTGTAATCGAGCGATAAGAAGTATATTATTATAGTAATACAGTGAATACCAAGACATGAATTGTAATGTTGTCAAATATCTAATTTTATTTTTATGCAAGTAGGTTCTATTCAAAGTATACAAATTTGGAGTAGCTAATTAAATCTATATATCTAGGCAGTGATTAATCATTGTGGGAAAAACAATTTTAAGGGGCCTATAACTCCATTAGCTAAGCTCATTATTTATAATTTTCTTTAACCGATACAACCAATAAAAGCCTATATCAATAGTATAAACCATTTACAACTAAACAAAGATCATGCGCGAAGACAAGATTAGAAATCGCCTAAATAGTGGTCCTTTAACAATAGTCACTATAAGCCGCCTTAATCGTTTTTAGTTTGTACAAGAATAGTGCATAATAGTAGCTGTATAATATAATATTGCTGTGGGAAATGTATTAAATGTATTGCATTTTCTATAGGTAAAACAAATGCGGCAAATTTTATTAGCTGGAATGTTGGATAAAGTTGCAAAACGATTAACTACAAACGAATTACATAGAAATGGTATAAGACCAAATAAGGCTGCTTATTATGCGTCTAATCTGAAAGAAATAGTTTACATACACAATAGTAGTGTATTAAAAAAAAGTAAACCAGAATGGTTGGTATACCAAGAGATATTTGAAGTACAAGATAAAATGTATATTAAAGGTATATATATAAATAAAATTGTATAATATTTAATCATAATAAACAGTACAAAATTACTATATAAATACTTATGGACATCAATACCAATTAATAACTCAACTTTTTAGGTATCACTGCTATAGAACCAGAATGGTTACCAGTTTATGCTAGTAAATTATGTAAAACATTAAAAGTATTAGATGAACCTAAACCTAGATACAATGAAGTAACTGGGAAAATGTACTGTACAATTAATGCGACTTATGGTATTACAATTTATTATTTACATTTTAAAATAATACAAATAATAATAAAAAAAATTTTTTTAGGTCCAGTTGGATGGTCATTGCCACAAGCTGAAATTGAATTTCCTAACATCAAACAAAAATATCTCTGGTTATCAGTTTTTATTCTCAGTGGAAAAGTTTTTCCTCCGCTGCAACATTTTAAGCAACATTTATTATGTGAACCAGAACTCATCCTTAAACCATGGATGAAGTTGTAAGTACATTAAACATTCAAACTATTATTATTGTAATTGAAACACTGATAAGAAAGGCCCACTACATATTTATATATTTTTTTTACATAAAATAATTCTTGAAAAAATAGCTTACTATTGATATTAAAAAAGTCCTATATTATTTATTGAGATAAAAAAGAGCCCATGAATTGTTATTTATTTATATTATAAAATAGTAAAAACTAGATTTAGGGCCAACGTTTTTATGCATTTGGATATTTTTAATGGTTGGTCAATAAAATAGCTAGGTTATACTAAAATATGTATCATGAGTATAATATTCAAAATTGTAGTTTGTATATTTTAGCGTTTTAGGATTTTTAGGGAATATTTTAGCATCTTGTGTTTTTAGAACATACTTCAAGAATTTTGTAAATTTTTAAAACAACTTGACGAATCAAGAAATAAAATCATAAAATAATTATTCAAGACTTGTAAATTTCAGCATGCAAGCTGATACTAGGTATCTGTTTTAGATATTAATTTATTGATACATTGATAAGGTTGGATTAGAATGTCTTGTCCATGTATTTTATCGTAAATATGTATGACTGATTTTATTTGAGTCATTAGTCATAGTTTATACTCATGCTGTTAAATTGATTAATATATTTTTTAGAGCATATTTTATTAATTTGTATGGCATAACTGCATACATATTTAATAGGTTTTATTAAGTGTATCAGTCTATTTATCAATGTTTCAATTATATTTCTTTTTTTTCAGCTTGAAAGAATCATTTTATTTGCTATCACAAACATTAAACAATAATCACGATGATTCTGCAAAAAAAATTAATGAAAGATGGTCAAAGAAATCAACATGTAAATTTGTATTTATTTAATTTTATTACATATATTTTAAACCATTTTTTTTTTTTTAGATTTATTAGACGAATATTTAACATGGTTACCAAAAACAGCACATACAGAAGTTAAATCAATATGGCCACCATTATAATTTTAATAATTTGAGACTTGTAGATTGTATGTGCTTATTGAAGATCATTATTAGAAGATTCTGTTTTAACATCTTCATCTTCATTAACTACCATTTCATCTGAACTACTGTTTTCAACAACAGGCTTACGAGATTGATGTTTTTTCTAAAAATTGTTTTTGTTATAATTACAAATGTGTTTTAAAACAATTATTTTTATTAATTAACTATAGTTACCTTTTCTTTAGTTGCATTTCTTAATCCAATGGTTTGGGTTTGACTTATAGATGTCATCAACGATAATAGTGGTGCCGATAGTTGAAAATTCTTCAATTCATTTAACATTTCCATCCTCTGAAGTCAAAATATACTTAATAAAAACAACTAAATATTATGAAATACTTATTATTATACTAATAATTGGTATAACTGAATTTATTAACAAGGGTCTCTGATAACCAAATATGAATAAAAAATCATTTTAAAGTGATAGAAAATAAATAATAGTATTACTTAATCAAATAAAAATAAAATAAATAGGGCGATTTTTTAACTACATTTAAATTCAAATTCAAATTTTTGGAATTTTTAAGTGTGAAAAGTTGTATTTTCACATACTATTGATTTTTCACAAACTAAGAAGTATCCTGTGGACTAAGGGCGATACAAACTTCTGTTTTTTAAATAAGAATCTACACATTTTTATACAAATTTGAACAGATATTTCTGAGTTATTCTAATTTAAATACTAAGAATAATACATAATACTAGCATAAAACTGTTTTTTTTTTTTATAATGGCTCTATTCAAAACTAAAAATTGCCTATATACAACTACTGTGAAATGTAAGTGTTGATTACGCCACAGGATACTCCTTAAATGTTGTGAAAAATCTCAGTATGCAAAATTTATAATATTTCACCACACTTAAAAATTTAAAAAATCAGAATTTGAATTCATATATAATTTAACCATAACAATGGAATGATCATGTTTAAAAAATGACGCTTTATAAATAATAATATGTATATTAGTACTGAAATTAGAAAAAATGCATAAATAGTTATATGAATAAATTTCTATCTAGGTTAGGTTAGTATTTAATTGGTATGATAAAAATAACTTGCAATTTAATAATCTTCTAAATCCCATTTAAATACAACTTTTTAGATAATATTACCTTTTGAGTTTTTATTTTGTTTTCTAAAACTTTTGCGAATGCTTTCTTTTGTTTTCTGGTCAATTTGTTCTTTTTAATAAATTCTGTATTCAATTGTCCTTTGGGATTTTTTTGATTTTTCTGTAATTTTTCAAAGTATAAAAATAGGGTAATATTTCTGAACACATGTATTGTTTTAATAATAAAATACTTGTATAACCCAATTTAAAAATGTTTACAAACCGATAACATATACATAATTACTAATTAGCTATTAGTAAACAAGGAGAAACCTCCACTCACAATTACATCAATGATATTAAAGATCTGCCTAAACATCATTCTGAAAACATATTATGAGTAAATAACAATTATTATAATAATGTATATTTTTCTTATATTCACAGACGATATGAAACTTTTCCTCAAAATAAATTCAGTCCATGACCTTAACAGACTAGTTAGATGTGGCGAAAATCTAGGCTTCTCAACATTGTAAGCTTCCCTATAAATTGCTTAAAGAGGACTGCAAACAATCCTTCCAATTTCATCAATGTAACCATAATATTATCAATAATGTAATATAAATTATCACTAATTATTTCATAAAATTAATCATAAGTTTGTATAATTTATATTTTAGATTCTTTTAATGTGAACTGGGCGTCCTGTATTTAGCATTAAATAAATAATTAAAATCTAATAATATAATTAATAAAACAATATTTTATTGACTTGATAAATCTAATTTTTGAGTACCTATATAAATTATAGTTTTTGAATAAACGTACCAAAATTGAATTTTTATTTTTCTTCATTTTTCCACCACCCAGTTCTACTTCTTACACAGTATGGTTTAAATTATCTGTGGTGTAATAGATTAATATTTAAAAAAGGTAGGTCCCTCGTAAATATTTTACAAGTAAAAAAATGACACTATTTTTACTAAATTGAACTTAAATACTGGTTACCATAAAATTAAATATTTAATACAAATTTCTTAGAAGTTCGAATAAAAAAATACCAAACCGTATACTTAATAAATATTTATACTGCTATAGGGTTCAAAATAATATGTATGATAATATTTGACATATTTACATAGTTTCCGTATATTGCTAGCTATCAGAAAATTGATAAAGACAATAAGGTATTCGATACAATATTCTTCTGTTACCAACTGTTTTCCTTCAAAATAAAATACCATAATTTTGTATTATGCTTAGATCATATACAATATGATGATAGTATGTGATCTAAGGTATTAGTATGGTATTAATATATTTTGCGCTGATTTTTTAAAGTACCTAACCTACCATGATTGTAAACACTAGCCTGTACTCTGTAGGTATCTACAAAAGTGACCTGTATTCTGTAGTTAAAATAGTTATTTAATATTTAATTTAGGTGCCTATAATATAAGTAGGTAGTAAATTAAGTATCTATTGATCTTTTTTCTGGAAAATTGGTAAAATGTTAAAAATAAATACTTTTATAGAACGGATATAGAAATTTAATGACGAACTAAATACTAAAATTAAAGATCTTCGAAAATATTAAAATATTATTTTTACCATTTTTGTTCATATAATATTCATTATTACCTACGAGTAATAAATACTATGGTGACAGTGTTCCCACTCTATACCACGACCATAGTGCTGTTGTTTACGATGTTTTCATTGGTTACCACCTCCAGAGCCATGGTATATAAAAAAGTTCAAGGTTAAGCACAGATTATACGGTGTACTGCTGATTACTTTTGACTTGTAGTCCTATCCACACACTGACACCCACCGATGACCGTCGTTTACTCCTCACAATCCTAGTCATATTTCACCATTAATAAAATATTATTTATTAATAAAACAAAGCAAACATCAAAGGGTAAAGTACACGTACATATTCATCTATTCATAATAAATTTATGCTGTTTAATAATTTATAAACGATATTTGGTATAAATATCGCGTTATTGTTATTACAATCATGTTTAACATTATTGGGGCCTTACAGAAACAACTGACCGGTATCCCGTTAGTGACTACGACTGTTGCTAAACGTTTATTCAGCGTCAGTCTCAGTTCGAAAATGCCAGTTCAAGTAAGCTAATAAGAATAACCTATTTTATTGAAATGATAACAATAATTATTAACAGGTTGGAGATACTATTCCAAACATCGACTTGTTTGAAAATACACCTGCCAATAAAGTCAATATATCTGAATTGTGCAATGGAAAAACAGTTATACTTTTTGCTGTTCCCGGTGCCTTCACTCCAGGTTGCTCTAAAGTAAATTTTTGATTTCCTTAAGTACCCATATATTGTTTATTAGTGTTATTTGTTAATTTAATAATGTTAAATGCATTATTTAGACACATTTGCCAGGCTATGTGAACTCTGCTGACGACTTGAAATCTAAAGGTGTCGATGAGATAGTCTGTGTTTCTGTAAATGATGCTTTTGTAATGGCAGCTTGGGCTCAAGATCAAAAAGCCGAAGGAAAAGTAATGAATTTATGAATTTATATATTTTATTAAATTATTAATTTGTGATTATTCTAAACATATTTAGTTGCCATTTCTATGGTATCATAACAAATTAAATTAGTGACTGTATTACATAATAATGATAATCAAACTGAGTTAGTCAAAAGTTCTATCTAGTTAAAATTAGAATTTGACTCCTCAATATAAATATATATATATAATTTTTGTAAAAAACTTTATAATCAAACAAATTATTTAAATTAAGTTAGGTAACTATAGTTAACTAATCCAATTAATCTATCAACCTTCTATATATGTATAAAAACGAATGTATGGTTGTTTGTCTTTTATGCATTACTTCATTATTCATCAGTTTACCATGAAACTTTGGAAAGTTTTTTTCATAGAACGTCTAAAATCCTACAATAACCTAACTATCGCTCAAAAAAGCCGATTTTTAGGTACTTTCGATACAATGATAAAATAATTATTTTTATTTATGGGTTTTCTTGGTAATATAGATGATAAAACGAATATTAATTAATTGGTTCATTATTGACAAATCCTTATATATTCTATGAAAAGAAAAATGTAAAAAATTAGCTTGGGCAACATGAGGTGGGATAGCTTGTTTATCATAACAAAATAAATAGATATGTTCGTATGTCAGCAACTTTGTAATACCTACGCACAAAATGGCATGCTACGTACTCCTATTATTAATTTTAATTACATCAGTAAACATTATAATACATATATTATAAGTCTATGTATCAGCACAGAATTATGTGGTATTAGTATCACATTATCCAGTTTTCGTATAGAGGCAAAAGCCAAAAGTCATGTTTTCACAGAATCTGCTATTAACTGTGATATTGCTATCATGCTCTTTTTATTTTGTTATGTTTTATATTATAATTAAACTAACTTGTTAAGTTAAAAATGATCATTCATTATATGACTTAACTTTTTAACTAGTTAGTGCCCGGTTTAATTCATTTCAATTTGAATGAATTATTTTACCATTTTAAAAGCTATTCATTTTTATTCATTTATTATTTATATTAATATAATTTATAATAAACAAAAATTCTTATCAAATAAATATATTACTAATTATTATGAATTTTCTTTAAATAAATTAGAATTTCCCAATATTACATTTAAATTGCACTGCTTAAAAGAAACTATTATGATTTTGATGATTTTTTTTTTTTTTTGTTCTGTAATATTTAAGTATATTTATTAATATATTATTTAATATAAGTATAGTACATTAAATCCAACCTATATGATTAAATTAAAATGATCTAAACCTTAACCCAATTAGTATTAAGATATGTATTCTAATTAACCTTTGACCTTAATATTGCCCCAAAAACATCAGACTAAATGATATTATTAATAATTTTAAAATAATCATTACTCAAACAAAATTATTAAAATAATAATTCATATAATAATTTTCAATAACAATAAAACTTATTTGACAATTATGTAATAGGTAATATTATACATTTTTATTTTAATAATTAGTTCCATAAATAATTATTGTTACTTGTATTTTATAATATACTTATTTTTTGTTTTCTTAAATAATATAAATGAGCGACTAAAATTTGTATGCTTGGTATACTACAAAAAAACTGTAAACATAAGACGCAACATTTAATTAATATGACTTATGTTTGTATATATTAATAGTTTATGTACTATAACAAATGTATAATAATTTTAAAATTAAAAGTATTACAACAAATTTGTATAGGTGCATTAATTTGTTTTATTAAATTATTATTATTTTTTTTATCAGTAAAAGTAATAACTAGGCTTAAGGATTTCAAGTATTTGCATATTTTTTCCGAATTAAGTAAAAAGTAGCAGAGTCAAACAGAAATCATATTTGTATTATTTAGAATCTAATTTTAAAATTTGATTGTGCGTATTTTTTCATATTTTAATGTTTTTTCTCATTAGAGCATATATTAGCAGAATACAGCTTTTATGTCTTATAACAGACCATTTGTTAAATTTGTAAAGCATATTTTATTGCATATTTGGTTTTAAAGCATAATATTTATATGATTTATAGAGTTAGAAGTAAATCCTTTTGCCTAGTAATAACAGTGTGTATTAACTATATTAGGTAAATTTACTATATGAAAACCAAAAGGGAAAATATCCTTATGACAACCCAGAAAATGTTAGTATGACTGTTTGTATCAGAATCTATGGCTTTTAAGAGTAAAGAACCTGAAAGTGATGACGAAGGGTGAAAAATTTAATATAGTTTAATATATGTAATGTATTAAACTATATTATATAATATAATAATAATATATTTAATATATGTATGTACTATATTTATAGATTAATTTAAAATAAAATATAGTAAATAAATATAAAATTTATATATAAAAATAAATAAATGAATGAATGCATTATCTGAAGTATTATAATAAGTATATTATATCTTTGAATAAAAAATTCATCATCAGGTCAAAATTTAAAATGTGACTCAAAATAAAAACAATATACTACAGATAAAATAGGTACAAAAACTATATATCTTAATTACATGTAATATTCAATTGGATATTTTAGGATTTAATGTTTAATAAAATCCGTATAATAAAATTAATGTTATAACTTTATAAGATAGGTATAACAGGTATCGTATAAAATATTAGTATCAGGAGTATCTACTTCAGTTATTTATCCAAAATAGAAATGTTATACTCAGAATCGTTAACTGTTTGCAGTGATTTATTGAATCTTAAATATAAACTAAATGATCCCTTTAAATAATAATTCCTCAAAAATCTGTAACCTACACACTGTGCAAAGTATATACTAAGTTTTTATAAATATTAGTTTATGTGTTATATTAATGTAATTCATAATACGTATTATAAATTATATTATATTGTTTTTAAACAATTTTTTTTTTTGTTTTCTTTTTTTTAGGTGCGTTTATTATCCGATCCAAACGCAGAACTTACAAAGGCTTTTGATTTAGCTATTGACTTGCCACCATTGGGTGGTATTCGTTCCAAGAGATACTCAATGTTAATCAAAAATGGTAAAGTGGATCAATTAAATGTTGAACCAGACAATACTGGATTATCCTGTTCATTAGCAAACAAAATAGTTTTGTAAACCATTCATTATTTTCATTCTCTCATTTCAAATCTATTAATATGAAGCATTTAAAAAAAAAAAAATAGTTCTAAATTTGTAACTGTTTGAATTATAGAATATTTTTTATTATGATTATTAAAGTAAATGGAAACTGTACGCATTGAATATTTAAAGTTTTAATCAAAATGTAAAAGTTTTCAAATAAAGCCTTTTTTTATCTTAAAATGTCAGTTAATGTAATTAATGTAATCAATTATAAATATTTTAATAAATATTGATAATATTAATCTATATCAAATTATACTTAAATAATAAACAATATACAATATGTATTTAAAATGTATTGATACACAAATAGTATTAAATCCTCAAGAAATTAAATTTTGTTATGTGTGTTTAATACTAGCATTTCAATATTCTAAAAACTGATGGTCATCACGTTCAAATTAAAAATCAACTCAATTTTAATTAGCTTATTCAGACAGTAGTATTCCTAATAAAAGGGCTTCTTTAAAATACCACTTATAATCAATAATTTGCATGTAAAAAATGAGTTAAGTCAATATATCAGTACTTTTTAATAGAGTAAAAATAAACTGAAAATGCAAGCTCAGTATTTTTACGTTTTGTCAAAATTTAAGACAACGCTATACCTACTTGTGCTGCCTCAGTCCAACTTACTGACAATATATCAAAATTTACCTTATACTGACTGTATTTTAAAGTGTAAGTAACTATTATGAAATTAAAAGCAGACAATATTCCAGAGGGCAAGACTGCATTTTTTTGGAATGTCATTTAAAACCGAGGAAATAATTTTTATTTCTAAATTATGTATTTAACATTATATCTGGAATAATAGAAAAAACGCATCACATTGCCCTTTGGAATATTGTCCTTTTTTAACGTTATAATAGGTGGTTTTACTCTAAAACCAAAATTATGCAAATTCTACATAATCTGCGTAAAGTAAATTTTTGCTATAATGCTTGTTAGATTGGTAGAGTACATGCGGCTATGGCATCCTCTTAAGTATCTATTGTAAGATTCTATCTGGCAACATCATTTGTATATTTAAAATCAAGCTGGTTTTTTTGTTTTATCAATTTATGAATATTGATTAAAATAATTTTTCAGTGACAACCTAATTGATACTAATTTCAGAAAACATAATATGGGTTAAATTGACTTAACTTTTGCTCACACTGCACAATTGAAAGGTACATTATTGTTTAAATCATTACTATGTGACATAACCAAAGTGAAAATTCACTAGATAATATTAGTTTAGCATTCAAATTTCATTAATTTGTATTTAGGGTTTCATTTTTCATAAATTATTCTTAAGTTCACAATATAGAGAAACAATAATTTATTTAACTGATAAAATTATACAACTGGATGATTTTTTATTGTTTATTTAGCTTAAGTATTTAAATAAAATGTAAACGATTTCCAAAAAACAGCATATCAGTCTGGAACACAAAGCTGCGGTCAATGATGTTTTTAATTTTTAAAGCTAGCTGAATATATTTTATACATTATGATATTGTCAAATGAATACATTAAACTGACAAATATAATATTCTTAGAGGCTGTTAGAAGTATTTTAATGTACAAATATGCAATCATCAAAACCCAGTCGTCTTTATTTCCAACAATAAAATAATTCACTAAATATGAATTGTTTGATAAAAAAAAAAAAAAATGATACGAAAGAACCAGACCAAGTATAAGAACCTATATTGACTATTGAAATCAAATTTTAATTTTATAATAAAATACATTAAATAATGTATTATTTTTTTTATAAATGTGTATTTGATTAGCTAATTTTCTTACCAATCTTAATTTACAGTCAATATAGAAAAATCAAATTGAATACTAGACAATATTACAACAAAAATCAAGAATATTGCTTTGAGGTTAGTTAAAAATGTCTTTCATCAAATGGACTTGGTGGCCTTTATTAATGAGTAACATTTTTGTTTAATTTGTCTATACCTTCAGGCATGTGACAAAATAACAAAAAAAAACTATAATTTATATATTACTATAAGTACGAGTAACAACTAAAAAAAATTATGTTACCTATACTTGAACAGCATGAACCAAAATTCACAGAATTCAAAAATAAATTCCATCACCAATCACATAGTAATTATTAATTGTCATTTTCAATTTCGATTCTAAGTGGAACTTGGTTAAAAATTGTATGCTACATTTAAACTGAGAATTAATTATTAATTTCTAGAGCCAAAATGATTTACAATTATTGTTAAACGTTGTCTATCATAAATGTAAAATTTAAACTTATTAAAACTAATTGGACACTATTACACTAGGTAAATTTGTTTTTCTTCTGGAAACTAGGTTTAAGAATGTAATGTAATAAACATATAAGAAAATATTTACTGAAATAAACTGTTGTAAATTACTTAAAAAGAACTAGAGTATTTTGGAAATGTTATCATACCTTAAAAATACTGACATTTGTTAAAAATTCCAGACTTCTGTAACATTATTTCCTATCCTTCGAATAGGTAGACACACAAAAAAACAAAATCGATTTTGGTAGAATAACTATTAAAATCGATCTTCTTTATTTTATTTTTATGATGTTTTTATTCAGATTAGGTAATCTTATTTTGATTTTTTTTCTTATTTTTTTTCATAGCAATTCAGTTTTAAAATCGAAAATTGGTATACGTAGTAATTACCTGCAGAAATTCAGAATAATTATTCAGTGCTCATGGATTCCGGAACTAGATATCAGTTTTCACCCATCCAAGTCAAACGTTACAAATATAACGCGACGTTTCGCTTTCTACGTCAAATAATAAGGTACCTAACAGAAATTAAGAAGGCTTAGTATAGTACATGTTTATAATAAATGAAAATATCGAAGCGCTTTTGCTAAACCTGAAATTGTTTTTCAAAAGAAAAAAAAACCCAACTTTGTAAAAATAATAGTTTCTTCAGTACCTATACTCAAAATCTAAAAAATAAATATTATGTTTTAGGAGCTTATGGAATCATGGCTCAAGGTAAGTATCTACCACTTATAACCATATATCTATCTTATCTATATTAATATCTATTATAACTTCTTAATATAATTATTACCTATTTGTAATATTTGTGGGAAACCTACACAAAAAATATCTAGGTTAAGTATTATATTATTAGGTACTATTAAATCTCCAAATCAATAGTAGGTAGGTACCTAGATATAGGGTAGCATAATGCAAGTCGAATCCATTATTTATCGAAATTATTAATTATATATTATATATTATTATAACATAATTAATTTAAATTCCATTTTTATATAAGTACCTAAAACGGTTTTTGTGCATTTACAGTAATGTATGGCCAACATATAAATGTTGTACAGAGGGTCACAGAGCGACCGGACACATTTGACATTACTAAAACTTTTAAATCAATACCATTCTATTTTTTTTTTTCAACTTATATATTGCTACTATATATTAGTATAATACAATCGGTCGGACTGTCGGAGTATGGTCTATACCACAGACTAGTTTAGGGTGTTCGTGTTATTAATCGTTAGGCAAATGGGAATGGGATACCTACCGCACAAGGACATTCGGTAATATTTATTATTAACACAATATATTACACACTGTCAACCTATTCGATTTTTAGAATATCAAACGCTATCTATGTAACTGTTCGGTTACTACCATCACAGTTATAACCGTAGTTACTTATTACCACGGTATTATTATTATTATTATTATTACTACACCGCGCGTGCGTATGCGATCATTATCCAATCACAGATATCTATATTATTGTAATAATAATAAGATATCTGTATATCCAATACACCACTACCAGCTGTTGCAGCTGTAAGTAGTTAATATTTTTGTTTTTTTTTTCATAAGAAATGCAGAAAACAGAAGTCATGAGTCGGTCCCTCATAAAAGGGAGTCTAATCCAAAATCTATACCAAATAAAGATATCAAATTCTAGTGGAAATGAATAAAGCTATAAGGGGGAAATTTTTGTAAGGTTGTTCGGAGGCACTGAAATCCTTCACCTTACGGCTCTGGCTAGGTTTAAACCATTGTAGTTTAATATATTATTGGAATATTATATTGGTTGAAACATGTATGACTGGGTGATGGAAACAAATATCACACTGGGTTTTTTTTTGGGAGGGGTGAGAATGATGAACTACAGCCCTCCCTTCACCCCTACAAAAAAAAAATATTGGACCCAGTTGGCAGTTGCGCTTATAATATATTGCGTCCGTTGTAATAAAATTAATTACATATTCTTGTATGTACCAATGGGTTTTTAATTTTAATAACGACTTAATCGACCAGTTAACTCGTCGATGGTCGATATGTAAATGAAAAGTGGTTATCGAATATAATAATATATACCTATATAAGGATTTGTCCCCCATGTCTACTTCTATCTATATTTTTGCGAGAACGCCCCTGAATTTAAGGGGAAGACCTTCTATACTTGTACGTTATTACGTCATCATAAAACACGAGTCGAGTTTCTAACCGAACGTACCTATATTATGTTATAAAACGTGTAGTTGTACGAGGTATTACATCCAAACATATTCTATAAGAAAAAATATTAAATATCATAATATAATATAAATATAATATAAAAATATCAAGTATAACGGTAGCTGTTACCCGAAATCAATTTTCTTTCGGTTTTTAGATGATGATACTATGATAGGTAATACCATTGATCATACACCATTGTATATATTATAATCAATAGAATAATACGCGTAGACATGATATTATTATTGCAGTATACAAATGTAAAACTTTGATATATTCAGAATTTTAATTTTAATTTTAAAAAAATATTCGAATTGTTAATGTTTCGACTCAAAACTTAAAAAAAAAACTCAATAATTACAATTTGTTTATTTTATATGCAACTATGTGAGTAAAATCGCCCTTTTCTTTTGGTATAGGTAGGACCTAACTTATAGTCTATTTGATGTATTGTATAATTATTTCTACACTGCAAATAACTTATATGCGTAGATACTTAAATTATAAATATTACTTCATATACTTGTATTAATTGGTACACCTATCCAGGCCCGTCGCTAGGGTACCAGCAAGCCGTACATTGCTTTAGGGCAGCATGCAATTTTAATCAAATTGAATCAACAAAATTAAATTAATAATCGTCAAAAAAGACTGACATCAAAATGTTTGCTTTAATGTGGAAAATATCTTACGACGAGCTTGCACTGCACCTATCCAAATATTATGAAAACATAGTTAAGGGCGTTCCCCCTTTGCCAATATAGTATTATAGTCTATTGACAATTGTCAAATATTCAATTTTTATTTCGGATTTATCTAAGTATCATATTATTTATGTTTGATATTACGAAACTATAAAGAAATAGTAAACATAGGTACGCAAGTTATATAAAATGTTTTTCTAACGCCGGACTTACGCCTACACGATATCTTATAGTAATGGTAATTCGAAAAAAAATCTCTGCAAATAAATTCCCAAAACAACTACATTATCAATAATAATAATAATAATATTTAAAAAGTTTACAGACATACATTAATTTCATTTATACAGAGTAATTTTTTTATCATGAACCAGCAATTATCTCAGAGGATTTTAAGTGAATTTGATTTTTGTTTTTTCTAATTTTTATGGAATCGTATAGACTTTATTTTAAAACCATTTTTTAATTTTTACCCCTACTGCATGAGCCTTAAATAATTGCATACTTTTGATTTTCAAATAGGACCCCCTCCCCTTTTGAACACAGATTCGAATAAAGAATATTTGTCTAGAAATTTTGATAATAGATAGGTTGGAATGGTCATAGATAGGCAATTTATCACCCTTCCCTACTAAATTATCGTCTAATCATTGTCATGTCAGTAATTTTTTAATCTATGGATTATAAACGAAACAAATATTCGAGAAAGATTTATTTTTGAATATAATTATATAACTGTGTTATTTATTCTTTCAAGGGAAGTCCGCATAATTATAATTTTAGTTGTCAAATATCATAGGCGTGCACACAAGGGGTGCAGGGTGTGTAGTTGCACCCCCAGTGAATCCAGTCAAAATTTTTTTTTAATATTTTAGACCATTTACGTCCCCATGCCAGTCTGGTCTCAACTTCTGCATGTCTCTTTTGACTACATTTATAACTACCGTTGCTACGTTATACCACGTGGTCTTTTTATTTTCAAGTTGTTTACAAGTACCGTCTAAACAATACTTGTGAATTTAGACCGTCGACTTGAACTGTAGTTTTTAAAATGTTTAAATAAAAAAAATGATATACGTATATTGTGTATATAAATATTTTTTTTTAATTTTAAGCTGAATAAAATAAATTTAAATATTATAGGACAATTGTGTAATATTATATAATTAACGTTTTTTTTTCTCAGTGGCTTATTACTAAGGCTTATTAGGTATTAATATGTAGTAGTTTGATGGTTTGCATCCCCAGTGAAAATGTTCTGCACACGCTTGTGATCTATATATTCTAAAATCAATTGTTTAGAGCGATAAGTCGGAAAATACATAGATACAAATTATTTAGACACATATTTGATATTTACACGTGATTCGGCTATT